CGGTGAGGGACGCTCCAATCAGATCGTCTGTTCTGATTATTGATCCGACATCATCTTAATCACCTGATCCCTTAGCAATTGTTGATAAGTTCAGACAAGATCAATGATCTGTGATCAGATGGTCACTCACCTGGTGAAGGTGTGTAGAGGAGATGACATCACCACTGATGTCATCAGTGTGCCTGTCTGTGGTTGGTTGTTTCTGACGAGAAGCTGATTCAGAGTCAGTTCTGCTTCTCGTTAGTTTACATCGATCAGGTTGTTAAATATCGACAGTGTCGACTGGAACATCCCAAACTGTGGAGAACGTGTCCTTAATAATCTGCCTTCAGTCTGCGGGTTTTTATTTTATTCAATTTTTTTTTTGGGGGGGGGGGGGGGGGGGGGGGGGTAAGCCTGTTGATGTTGTTCTTTTGTCAAGAACATAGAAGAACTTAGGAGCTTGGGAAGAATGAGAATGATAGGACTCTGGGAACTTTGAGCCTTGGAAACACAGGACACTCGGAACATAGCACCATGGAAACATAGAACACTGGGGACATAACTAGGGACATAGGACACAGGGAGCGTAGGATACATAGGACCTTGGGAACATAGGACACAGGGAACACAGGTCTGACCCATATGTTCCAGCCTCTTCTCGCCATGATCAGATGAATTTTGATTTGATTTCTCCTCAGATGAAGGTTGGACGTTGGAGAGCAGCTGATGGAGAACGTGTTGCATGTCCATGTTTTTCTGCTCTCTATCACGGCGCGTCATCTTCGTATGGTGTGAATAATCTGCTGTTAGATTCACTAAAACTCTGATAGGCACCTCCATTTTGTTTCCGATGTGACTCGTAGTCTCACTGAGGGACGGCGACATAGCAAAAAGAACAAGTTAAGACTTTAGGCTGACACATGAGTTTAACTGTCAGGTGTAACACTAGTGTTTAGCTTTTCTCTGCAGTAAGAAGTTGTTTGTAACATTGAAGAACTTTTTTCTTTTCTTCTGGGTTGACTTTTTTATATTTATCATTTCTTATGTATATTTGTTTTTTAAGAAAAATAATAAAATGGAAAATTTGAATCAGTGCTCAATGTTTTCTCTTTACTTCTTTGCAGCATGTCAACAAAAAGTGTTTGTTCAGTTTCACATTGTAGCGAGAAAATGTTTCTATTTAACGAGATATTTCATATTTATCAAAATGTATTATGTTTTCATTTATCAAAACGTTATATCATACTGTATGTTTTATTCATGTCACATTTTTCTACCAAATTGTTATGACAAGAAACACAGGCTGCAAATAAGGATTATTATTTTCACTTTCACTATGAGACAGAACTGTAAACTGGTTAGACGTCTTCAGTCTGACACAGAGAGCTGCAGGGATGATGTTTTTATGTAGTCTGACCCTGAAGTTAGCGTCGCCCTGGTTCCCTCGTCAAAACGCCAAAGGGATTTATCCACTGAAAAATTTGTGACAAACACGTTTCTGATCCTTCAGGTTTTGTTCTGTGAGATAACGAAAACCGCTTCATGATTATTGAAAAATAAACGTCACAACAACCGGGCCGTAAACAAACTACACCACGGTCACATGACTTAACGTCACCGCCACATCCAGGCCATAAACAAACTACACCATGGTCACATGACTTAACGTCACTCCCACAACCAGGCCATAAACAAACTACGCCGCGGTCACATGACTTAACGTCACCGCCACAACCAGGCCATAAACAAACTATACCATGGTCACATGACTTAACGTCACTCCCACAACCAGGCCATAAACAAACTACACCACGGTCACATGACTTAACGTCACCGCCATAACCAGACCATAAACAAACTACACCACGGTCACATGACTTAACGTCACCTCAACCAGGCCATAAACAAACTACACCACGGTCACATGACTTAACGTCACCGCCATAACCAGGCCATAAACAAACTACACCACGGTCACATGACTTAACGTCACCGCAACCAGGCCATAAACAAACTACACCACGGTCACATGACTTAACGTCACCACAACCAGGCCATAAACAAACTACACCACGGTCACATGACTTAACGTCACCGCCACAACCGGGCCATAAACAAACTACACCACGGTCACATGACTTAACGTCACCACAACCAGGCCATAAACAAACTACACCACGGTCACATGACTTAACGTCACCGCCACAACCGGGCCGTAAACAAACTACACCACGGTCACATGACTTAACGTCACCGCCACAACCGGGCCGTAAACAAACTACACCACGGTCACATGACTTAACGTCACCGCCACAACCGGGCCGTAAACAAACTACACCACGGTCACATGACTTAACGTCACCGCCACAACCGGGCCGTAAACAAACTACACCACGGTCACATGACTTAACGTCACCGCCACAACCGGGCCGTAAACAAACTACACCACGGTCACATGACTTAACGTCACCGCCACAACCGGGCCGTAAACAAACTACACTACGATCACACGACTTAACGTTACCGCCACAACCGGGCCGTAAACAAACTACACCACGGTCACATGACTTAACGTCACCGCCACAACCAGGCCATAAACAAACTACACCATGGTCACATGACTTAACGTCACTCCCACAACCGGGCCGTAAACAAACTACACCATGGTCACATGACTTAACGTCACCGCCACAACCAGGCCATAAACAAACTACACCACGGTCACATGACTTAACGTCACCGCCACAACCAGGCCATAAACAAACTACACCATGGTCACATGACTTAACGTCACCGCCACAACCGGGCTGTAAACAAACTACGCCGCGGTCACATGACTTAACGACACCGCCACAACCGGGCCGTAAACAAACTACACCACGGTCACATGACTTAACGTCACCACCACAACGAAGCTGTGACGTGGTTTTGGGCGTGATGGTGTTCTGTAGTCTCATCTTGTCAGAGACACATAAAGCTGTAAACTGACAGTGGGGTATTTACTGACGTCTCTTCAGCTCGTGTTAAACACAGACCTTATTTCACCATCAAACCAAAACACACTGACTTCAACACCAGGGAACAGGAAGTGCTAACATGCTAACATGCTAACTCATTTCTGGGTTTTAGGCTCTAACACATCTCAGTTTGGGAAAGGATTCTATTTTCCAACCAGTCACTAGAGACCCACATATCAGCTTGAATCCAATGTCATTTTAAGACCACACTAATGCGTCGCCATGGAAACGTACTGGTTTTAAGAGTGGAGTGGAGTGATGTGAAAAAAACTAGAAATGTCCGGAGATACTGAGAAGACATGTTGTTATAGAGCAGCCGTGATAGCAGTGTCTACAGTGGTGACAGTTGTTGTTGTTAATTGGTCCAACACAGCACTTGTTAACAGCAGCATTAGTTTCTCTGTGACGTCTTCAAATGTTCAAGATATTCACTTTATTAAGATATAAAACATAAAAACAGAACATCCAACTCGCTGAAGAAACTCATCTAAACTTCAATCAGTTATATTGTTGACTTACCTGATGAATGGTTTCAGCCCTGAACAAAATATAACTTTATGATCGAATCAGGTTATATGTGAACAATATCACCACCTGCAGTGTGAAACTGTTTTATACAACAGTTCTACCAACACCATTTCATCAGTCAGCAGTAATCAGTGTCAGCAGGTTGTGATTTGTTAGTTTGTTTAATGATTTATTTGAACACAAACACTTTTACAGCTGTACTGTTGCCAAACAACACAAACACTCCTGCACATGCGTGTCGTCTACACGTCATCACAGGACAGTTATTTTGTCTCATGTATGTTTATCTGCACATGTCACTTATTGTGTAACCAGAGAAATTAGAGTCTGTTTGGTGACGTGTGATTGTGATCAGTTATCAGCTGATCAGACGGATGATAACTAATAAATAAGGAATAAAACACTGAACAGTTTCAAGCTGAGCAGAGATTTTATATTTGGTTGTGAGTGTCTGATGGGTTTGGTTCATCTGATTATTGTGTTCTTTTTCTGTCCAAAAGGTTTAATGTGATAAATATCACTGGTTGTAAACTGAAGTTTCCTATGATTATTATATATAACAAATAAGAGCCGAAAGGTTTTAGCTTCTTCTTTTTAACGTGAACAATATTATTTGAGTTGCTCATTAGATTCTGAGGGTCCTGTTTGTTTCTGTTTCTATTGCTGATAAGTTTTATTTTGTGTTTAAATGATTTTAACATGTTCAATAAATTGACTAAAAAAACAAGACAACATGTCACATGATCACACCTGGAGGTTTACAGTGAAGTCGTCAGGCTTTTTCCCTTTTCTGACCATTTATAATTTAACTCAAGTGTTATTTGTGGAAACATCTTCCTCTTGTTGTTATGATCATTAATGTAGAATATCTAACGATTAATGTAACAAACAGTTTATAACAGCTGTAAAGTGCAGTTATATACACGCAGAGTTTAAAGTCCCAGTGTTATATCAACACTGATGAATGACTCCTGGTCAATCCAATGACTTGGTTTGAACTAACTGTTGCATAATAAGAAATACTTTCTGCATCTTAAACATTAAGTATATCTCATTAACAAGCACATTATGACCGAAAGTGTGAAATTATATTAACGTATAATCAGGAACAACAGTATGAAACAGGAATATGAGACTATTAAACAGTAGTGCACTTATAGCAAAAATGTAACAAAAAAATTAGCTCTTTATTTTGTTTAACAGCTAAATACAAAAATATTGGAAACACCTGGTATCATATACGACTCTTTGTATGTGTGTGTGTGTGTGTGTCAGATGAATGTAGTGCAGTAAATGTATTTTGTTACCTGTGGACAGAGACATTACAATAATAATTAGAAACGTGTCTGAGCTGACTGAAGATTTTGTCTCCTGATGTGGTTTTATTTTGAAAAGGTAAGAGCGCTAACTTTTGTCATCCAGCTCTTACTTTGAAACACAAACCGGAAGTTGCGTGTGTTGACGCGGTGCCTTGATGACTTGAGGAGCAGAAGGAGTGTAACCGGCTGCAGGGACGGAGCAGGAAGAGAGGAACAGAAAGCAGGATCAAACACGACAGAGAACAAGAAGAAGACAAAAATAGAGAGGAGGTAAACAACAACAACAACAAATCAGGGAGGAGTAAACAACAGCAGAGTGTGACACACTGACTGACTCTGAGTTTACTTTGTTTTTCTTGTGCTGCATCTGCCAATCAAACAGGATCCGAACCCAGCCAGGTGTGTTCAGGCCACGCCCCTTCAGGTAAACACTCAGGAGTGTTCCTGAACAGGTGAGGACACGCTGAGACACGGCGGTGTGTGTGTGTGTGTGTGTGTGTGTGTGTGTGTGTGTCAGACTGACTGTGGAGGTAAAGTTTCAGCTGTGGTGTAAAAGTTTCTGTTAATATTTGAACTCAGATTTTATTTTGAAAAGTATTTTTTATTTGTTATTTCTCTGCATGTTTAGGTTAAAGGACTTGTTGCTATGACAACAGCTCCAGATATAGCCTAAATATTTAAGTGAGCCAAGAACTCCAGATTCTGTCCAATCATCAGCATTCAAACCTGAGATCACACCTGAGCTCTGTGAAGCAGGATTGGGGCTCAGTCAGGTAACTTTGGGGTTCAGTCCTACGAAGCTGTTTCACTTTTTATGGTGACAAATCACCATGGTAACTAATGTTGAACAGTTCACCAGGGGCCTGTATCAGGAAGCAGGATTAATGTCTTAGCGAGGTAACTTCAGGGTTAACTCTGGGTTTTCGGTCTCACGAAGCCGGTTCAGTTCTTATCGGGGTAGATCACCATGGTAACTTACTCTGAACGGCTATCCTGCTCCGGAGCAGGGTAAGTTCAGGGTTGAATCTGATCCTATAAAAAGCACCACCCACTGGCCAATCAGCTGTTGATGGCTGACAGAAATGCAGCCCAGTCATGACGGGAAGTTTAATTCATTTGATTGATTTTGATTTGAAAGTTTATTTTGAACATTAAAAAAGAAAAGAAAGCAACAACAACAGACAATGAAAAGATTGTTCAAAAAGGAGTGGAAAGAAGTGGAACTTTCATCCCACCCCTTCATAAGAAAGAAACTGATCATTTGCAGACACTTAATAGCACCATTAATTAGTGCCAACATTTTGTTTTGTTGGAGGAAATGATCCCTGTTAAAGATAATGGGCCTAATTGACAGCTTTGCTGCTGGAAATGTGGAAAGTAGCCTATCATGTCTACACTTCATGGTGTTTGAGGGATTTTCCTTTTTGTTTTTTAAAGAGGGACACTAGCTATATTTTTGTGCAGCTGTTAATTTCTAACACAGCTCAATATCAGGATGATTTTATTCAGACTATCAATTTGGTGTTGATATGATTTAATTGTGGCGTCAGCTTTAAGCTTTATTGTAGCATATATAACGTTATGACAAAGAAGACCAATTTATCAGACGCAATGATGTTAGACGATAATTGTAATACACGCAATTCATCTGCGCAGCATTGATTTCATGGGATTCAAGGGTGTGATCAGTGTCAGATGTACAGGTACAGGTACTGTAGCTACTTGAACCAGTGATGAGTCATTTAACCTACACATCATTTTATTTGCTGCCTTGTTTTGTCTTGATTTTTCCCTCTCTCCTCCTCTATTTCTTCTTTCCTCACCCGTTTCTTTTTCTTCTCTATCATGTGATTTCATTGATGTTTTGACAGGGGAATTTCTTTGATAAGCTTTTAGTGGCTTCTAACCTCTCCGGCACTTTTCTTTTTTTAATCTTGTAAATTTTATACTGTCTGTTTTTAACATTATGTGCAAATAAACTAATCTAAACTGAAACTAAACATTATTCATCCCGTTATGTGTTGCCACTCATGTTTCCTCCTCCTGCAGCTGCCACGGTGTTGGCCTTTTCTCTAATGTTGCTTTTCTCCTCCTCATATTTTAGTAGAATTAATCTCTGAGCCTCACGAGAAACACTTTTTTCCCCTCACATACGGCGCTCTGTGAGGACACTCAGTGACGCTCAGTGACGCTGCGCTTCTCTAATGATTGTGATTGGTCCGCTGCGTGCGTGTTCACGGCTCTTGATAAAGCAACACTGGGTTGAGTTACCGAGTTGATATCCAGCGTCGTGATACCGATTATCCTGATTGCCATTGTTAGGGTTAGTCAACCCAGGATAGGTCTGGGTAACCCAGGAAAGGTTGATCTCGCTTCGTGATACAGGCCCCTGCTCTGGAGCAACACCCTGTCAACACCTGACCTCTGACCAATCAGATCACTGAAATAAATGTATCCCAACATGGACAAAAGTCCTGAGAGACACAAAGAGTTTATGTCTTTATAGGTCAGTAGATTGTTTATGACACTAAACACATGATGATGATTTTATCTGTGTGTTAATATCTGATCTCTGACAGTGTGTCTGATTTTATACTGACTCCATCACTGCAGCTCAGAGTCACATGACACACCTGTGTGATCATCACTGCAGCTCAGAGTCACATGACACACCTGTGTGATCATCACTGCAGCTCAGAGTCACATGACACACCTGTGTGATCATCACTGCAGAAACAATCCTCACTGTGAGTTTATGATTATAGATGCAACAGTTGAGTCAGACAGATCTCATCAGTCATTCATTACTCTTTCCCTCAGTATCACAAACACTCTGGTGTTACGTTAAAGAGTTTTATGTGACAGAATCAAAGGAGTTTCTTGATGATCAAACTACAAAACTAAAACAATACTCAGTCTGTACTGACGTCTTATAAAACAGTCTCTGCCTACTTCTAATATTTGACAATTATTTCTAGTGTTTTACATCTTGTTATTTTAATCGTTTACATTTCACTCTGATGAATTTCACTTTTTACAGTCTCTTAACATCACTGTTTCATGTCACATCACAGGAAGTACTCCATTTATTTTGATCCTGATTAACAGCCCCGCCTCTTTGACATGAACACGCTCCTGGCTGCAGAGAAAAACCCAGAGTTGACTGAACTGGTTGATAACGAGCTGCGTGATACCATTTATTAATGTTAAACCAGTGTGACGAGTTAGTGAAGCCAGATCATGAAAAGACCCCCTGGGTCTGTTAAACTAGCTTCATGTTATGATGAAGGACAGGCCCTGGGATATAGAGTCTGTGCTTCTATCAACATGTCATATCTGAATATATAAAAGTTATAGATAATAAAAGAACATTTTGACCTTATATCGCAGGACAAGGACATTTTGCATAGTGAGGACTTTTTGTCTTGTCCAAGAGTCCTCAAAAATCTGTTTGTAGGTCCAGATGTGGTTCAGGTCTAGGATCAGTTCCAGATGTGTTTCAAGGTTCTGTGTGTGTGTGTGTGTGTGTGTGTGTGTGTTAGCAGGGCGTGGTGTCACAGTCACTTCCTGTCATTATGTCTCATTACTGTGAACACTGAGTTCAGTCTAACAGTAGAAGAAGAACTCAGGTCCTCCACTGCTGTGAAACACAGAGATGATCTGATGCCGTCATCAGGTTATGATGATGACATCATTCAATGATCAGATATCAGTGATGTCACTGATCCAGACTGAACTCTACTGAAGGTTAAATTCTGTTTTCTGTGGAGAGCAAAGTTTTCTTCATGTATTTAAGGTCGTCACCATAGTGAGCTCGCACCAAATGGACGTTTGTGCCAAATTTGAAGAAATTCCTTCAAAGGTTGTTGAGATATCACATTCATGAGAATGGGATGGACGAACAGACGAACATAAATACGTAGGGATGGACAACCCAAAAACAAGATGGCTCCAGCCTCAGTTATTGCTGCGCAGAGACATCAGGTAAAGTCTCAGACAGTCTCAGAGGACAGAGCTCGATGGATAAAGACTTTTTATTAAAGTTATAAACAGATAAATGAACAGCATTGAGACGAAGTGAAGGACCTGACAGAGTAAACAGAGTCAGACATGTTTCCATCAGCTGTGGGTGGTGTCAGCAGCTGATCTGTGAGGACTCTGACAGCTGTTATGGACCTGGTGTTGCTCCCAGGAGTTAAAGAGTTAAATAAATTGACTTCAGTTTATTCCGGATTTAATAAAATCATTTATAAGAGTTTCAGTGTTTTATGTGTTTACAGTGTGTTCTGATCATGTAGGTGTGAGACGATCAGTGACCCTTCAACAGTCCAGATGAGTGTCTGATTTTAACATTAAACTGATCCAGGATCAGAGTCCACTCGGAGCTCAGTCTGGTTCTGTGGACTGATATAAACTGATCCTGCAGCCGGTCCGATGTGTCTCCTCTGGAACGTCTCAGTGTCCTCACAAACATCATTAAAGCGTCCTTCTCCGTCCTCTTCCTCCTCTCTGTTTTCTTTTCTTTTTTTAGAAGGATGGATGGAAGCCGCTCGGCAGGAACCCACGCTGATGAGGACACGCTTGAACCTGCTGATTGGATCTCAGCTTCAGAGGAGAACGACCGGCAGAGAGAAGAGTCAGTCAGTCAGCCCAAGTCCCAGGATCAACAAAGTCCTGCAGAGACCAACAAGAGCCTTAAAGAGACCAAACAGAGTCAAGAAGAGACACAACAGAGTCCAGAGGAGACCCACCAGAGTCCTGCAGAGACTCACCAAAGTTCAGAGGAGACCCACCAGAGTCCTGCAGAGACTCACCAAAGTTCAGAGGAGACCACCCAGAGATCTGCAGAGAAACATCAGAGTCCTACAGCGAAAAACAAGAGCTCTGCAGAAACCAACCAGAGTCCTTCAAAGAAACACCAGAGTCCACATAATCCTGCGGATAAACACCTCAGTTCTCCAACCAAACCAGATAAACCAAAACCAAGTCTTCGTCCTAAAAAGCAACAAAAACTGAGAGATTCTCCTCCAACAGAAAAACAGAAAACAAAAGATTCTCCTTCTTTAAAAGATCAACCAGAACCAGATCAGACCTCAACTAAACAAGACCCCCTAAAACCAAGTTCTGTTTGTACAGACCAAAAGAAACCAGGAGATTTCTTCTGCCCAAAACATGAACAAAAACCAGATGATGCTCAGAAACACCAAAACCAGGAGGATCTGTGTCCTAAACAGCAGAGACCTGGGGAGGACCCTCCTCCTCCTCACCTGAACACCCAGCAGGCTCCTCCTCCTCTCCTGCACACCCAGCAGGCTCCTCTTCCTCCTCTCCTGCACACCCAGCAGGCTCCTCCTCCTTCTCCTCAGGTTCTCACATCGATGACTCATCCGAACGAAGACTCCACCCTGGCTCCGCCTCTCACGACAGAGGTGCTCTGTGAGCAGGAGCAGGGGCAGCCCCGCCCTCTGGTCTCTTTCCCAGGTGAACCCAAACTGTGTGGCTTCCTGCAGAAGCAGGGGGGGCCCCTGAGGGCCTGGAAGCAGCGCTGGTTCACCTACGAGGATAAAAGGAACCAGCTGTTCTACTACCGCACACCACAGGACGTGACGCCGCTCGGCCGGATAGAGCTCTGCAGCGCCACCTTCACCTACCCGCTGAAGGCTGAGAAGGGGACCTTCCATATCAAGACACCTGAACGCACCTTCATACTCAAGGTAGGGGGGCAGTATAGTCCTGGTAGGGCAGCCTCTGTCCACTGTGTGCAGACAGTCCCAGAGAGCGAGCACCTGGTCATCGTTCAGAGCAGTGACAAACACAAGACTGTTTTCAAATTACTTAATCAGCTGATGTTACAAAGCAACCAACTGCAGATCCACATAGAGTAGATAAGTTACATCTAGCTGGCTAACATTAGCTCTGGTTACGATTAGCTCATTAGCCGGCCTTACATGGATCCAGTAGAAAGCGCTGTGCACAGTTACATCATGTATTGTTGGCTAAATCAACACTGTTATAATCATGGATCACGTTAGCAGGTGAAGTAATTTGCCAAACTAGCCAACTGATGTCTCCACTCAGACGGTATTTTGCTTGCAATAATGTCAGCAAACAAGTAAGCTAAGGTAGCCAGCTAGCTGCAACTAAGCAATGCTGGTGTTGGTTGCTTTATAACGTTAGCTAATAAAGTAAAGCAAGCTAGCTAATTTACCAGCCAGATCAGGCCTGGAGTCTGGATGAATTCAGTGACGCAAATCACTCAAGACAGTATATAGTTGGCAAGCAAACTAACGTCAGCTAACACCGGTCAGCTAAAACCACAGTAGCTATGTATTTCTCATGTTAGCACGTCCTGTGATGAACCCTTTTTTCAGCACTGAAGGGAACTGGAGTTATGATTTGGGGCACTAAATATGATTGATTTACTGTTTCTGACCACAAAGGAGACAAGAATTAGCAAAATAGCACAGCTCACAGACGCCCCCAGGAAGTGTGCCAGGCTTTGAAGCTATCTTTTGTAGTCACCAGTCTACTTACACCATCAGGTGATGCCCTCTAGCTCAACTTGACTTTCATGGCGAAAGAGATGTCTGTAAATCAGCGGATAGATTTTTTTCATAAAATGACTCGTTTCACCATCAGGATTTGATCCATTCAGTCCGGGAACATTTGGAAAGTCAAGAAGAGCTCATCTGAGTTAGCAGATGGCTAAACTGGATGTAGCCGCTCGACTGGCGGAAGTCTCTGATGCACCTGCTCTGTGGGCCACACAGTGCTGATCATCTGGGTAATTTTATAGGCAGCAATTGAACTTTTTGGCTTCATGCGCCACTGAGCAGCATTTACAGGGATGAACGAGGCCCCGCCTCCAACGCTGTGTCCAGTTGTGATGTCAGTTGTCTTTATCTGTGGCTGTAGTGGAGCTAAAAAGAACCCAGGCACTCAGGAGCGTACATAATGTCACATCCTTTACATAGACGTCAGTCCACAGGCTGTAAGAGGTCTCAGTTCTTAAGTTATGTAACTACCTGCTCACAGATTTATATATAAAAAATGACATGTTTGAAGTTACACAGAGAATCTTTAATGAAACAACCAGTCAGTCTTCATCCTATAACTTCAGGTGTTGTTACATGTTTTGCCTCTGCAGCTTTTTAAACTCTGAATCTAACTCTGCCCTCTGCAGGCTGTGACCCAGGAGCTGATGCTTTACTGGCTGCAGCAGCTGCAGCTGAAACGCTGGCAGCACAGACAGATGTCCACCTGTCCAGACCTGACAAACAACAACAACAACAACACTCCAGGTGAGAAACAAACATAGTCTGCTGCGTCTCAGACTTCATCCACACTTAGATATTTCCTTCATGTGACGCTGGCTGCAGGCAGGAGGTCATGAATCTGAATCCTGCAGCTGCAGCATCAGCCTCTATAAGCTACTTCTGACCAGAAATAATTTATAATATTCTGTAACGTCACTGCAGCAGAGTCGAACCCTCTCTGAGCAGCTCAGTGTTGTCTTGAAACAGTGAAACACCAAACTGGAGTTTAACATTTAGATTCTGCAGAGAGTTTAATAAAACATGTTGTTTGACAGTGAAAGATGAGTTTTTACATGTGACAGACTTAAAGAAATATCTCACAGCTGAAACGATGTTTTTTCATAAAGTAGATTTACACTTGAGTCCAAAACACACCGGCAGCAAACGCCATGCAACAAAAAATACGCCTCTGTTATTTTCAACGTACAACCCACACCGGTGGCGGCTAGACATGTGTGGGCTCCCCTGGACGCATCGCCCCACTTGTACAGACCATTTCCTGTGGCAGCTCGACTTCTCATCGTTAATGTATAAAGAGAACTCTGTAGTTGATGCTGTCCAGAGACCATGTTGGAGGGTTCATGGCCTCCTGTTGGGAAGATAGTGTTTTAGTGGTGTGTGGTTTTGGTCCTGATGGACTGCAGCTTCCTCTCAGAGGGGAGGGTAACAAAGCAGCAGTGCAGCAGATGGTGATGGAGGATGTGAGGATGGAGGATGGTGGTGTAGAAGCGCTCCATCGTTGTCTTTGGCAGGTTGAACCAGTGTGAATTTTGTAACAAACAATCCTGTATTTCAGTAAAACAGAGTTAAAATTTGTTTGTGAAACATTTCAGGAGTGAAACAGACGACACAGTGTCAGGATGTTTGCTCATATCTGATCAGCTTTACTGTTTGATCTGAGTTTGAGACGTGTTTTATGACATCTGGTGAATTTGAGTTGAGAGATGAGCGTGCAGGTCTGGGCTCTAATGAGATGGAGGGAAGCATGGGTGCAGATCCCGGGGGGGACAGGGGGGACATGTCCCCCCCAAATTCTGAAAAACACAAATTGTCTCCCCACTTCTAAATAGCTTAAATGATTGAAATTGAACAAATGTATACAGTAGTCCTATATACTGAGAGAAAAAGAAGATGATGAGGAGAAATGGGAATCCGTGAGAGGCGAGAGATGAGAACGTGAGTGGACATAACATGCCTGAGACCCTGAAACTAGAAGTAGCATTAACTAACAACGAAGCAGTGAAAAGGAGGGTGATGGCTGGTTCCATGTACTACTGGCTGTTTAAGAGAAATAAACAGTAAAGGTAAGCATATGATTCTCTTTGTAGTGCTTTTTGAATGACTTGGTGATGGTGATGAGCCTCTATGAAATCGTGAAATATGCTGGCAATCTCAAGTGCTCTGTGGGCATGATTTGCACGCGTGCAATTAAAAAATCACAACTGATTGTGTCCCCCCCAAACTTGTCATCAGATCTGCACCCATGGAGGGAAGGTTATCACAGTTCATTTACACATTGACCCACATGATGATGATGATACAAAGCTGGATGGGAACTGGAAAAAGTTTTCATTTAATGAGTACAGAATCTGGTTAACTAAAGTTTTGTTAGCACGGTTTAGTCAAATGAATACCTTACATTCAAACTCAGTATTGCTGCATCACTTCATGGATGAATGGAGGTGCTGCACCCAGTGTCTGCAGTTAAACGTCCACCAGAAACAACAGATCTGGATCAGGACCACTCGAGCCATTCTCAAAGTGGGATTGTTGTGGAGGAGGAGTGGAAAGAAAACGTCATTTCCAAAGCATCAGTTGTATGTGTGAGTGAGCTCGTTCATCCTGATGTCGAAGGGGAATCAACAGTGATGAGATCTTCAGGAGGTGTTTTGAAAAAGGTAACGTTAACCTGTTCACTTTATTACCATTGTGACGGTGGGAGACTGCTGAAGATGGCTAATGGCGGTGAGCATTTGGGGTCGTTTTTGTTTTTGAGTTGACAGAGATGTTTTGTAAAATGAAAGTCGTGTGGACAAAATTATTTTTCAAAACAGAGGGAAAAATATGTTTTCAAAAACATCCACATACATGTAGACAGGATAGCACGGTGGTGCAGTGGTTAACATTGTCCCCACAGCAGGAGGGTTTGTGTTCAAATTCCAGGGTGGGGGAGCTGTTCTCCCCGTGTCAGCGTGGGTTTCCTCCAGGTGCTCTGACATGTTCTCCCCGTGTCAGCGTGGGTTTCCTCCAGGTGCTCTGACATGTTCTCCCCGTGTCAGCGTGGGTTTCCTCCAGGTGCTCTGACATGTTCTCCCTGTGTCAGCGTGGGTTTCCTCCAGGTGCTCTGACATGTTCTCCCTGTGTCAGCGTGGGTTTCCTCCAGGTGCTCTGACATGTTCTCCCTGTGTCAGCGTGGGTTTCCTCCAGGTGCTCTGACATGTTCTCCCTGTGTCAGCGTGGGTTTCCTCCAGGTGCTCTGACATGTTCTCCCTGTGTCAGCGTGGGTTTCCTCCAGGTGCTCTGACATGTTCTCCCTGTGTCAGCGTGGGTTTCCTCCAGGTGCTCTGACATGTTCTCCCTGTGTCAGCGTGGGTTTCCTCCAGGTGCTCTGACATGTTCTCCCTGTGTCAGCGTGGGTTTCCTCCAGGTGCTCTGACATGTTCTCCCTGTGTCAGCGTGGGTTTCCTCCAGGTGCTCTGACATGTTCTCCCTGTGTCAGCGTGGGTTTCTTCCAGGTGCTCTGACATGTTCTCCCTGTGTGAGCGTGGGTTTCCTCCAGGTGCTCTGACATGTTCTCCCTGTGTCAGTGTGGGTTTCCTCCAGGTGCTCTGACATGTTCTCCCTGTGTCAGCGTGGGTTTCCTCCAGGTGCTCCAGCTTCCTCCCACAGTCCAAAGACATGCAGGTTAATTGGTGACTCTAAATTGTCCGTGAATGTGAATGGTTGTCTTTCTCTATAGCCCCTTTTACACTGCTAGATTTTCAGTGAATGTTGGGCCGATTTGCCGGCGAGCTGCGAGCGTATAGACACACAGAGCTGGATTGGCTGTTGAAGACTTGTGGGAGGAGCTGTTGATGACGCCGCACGTGCGAGCCACTGGCGGTGGATAAACAGGAAACAGCTGATAGCAGGAATTAGCGAGCAGCTAGTAGCAAGAGGGAAACACAAACCTGACAGACACTGTAAAGATGAGCAACTGGGGAGACAAGGAATTGTGCGCCCTCCTTGTCCTCGCAAACAAAGAGGCCATTAACCGTCAGATGACGGGGACGGTGAAGAACGGGCCGACTTATGAGAGAATCACCGAAGGACTGACCAGCCGCGGCTTCCCTCCAACGTCACTGTTTACGTCACACGCTGAGCTACACGTTTTGTTACTTGCTCACGCCCCCCATTGCCCCGAAAAAGGTGCATTCTGTATAAACAAAAGTAGGTAGGCGGCATTTTGCTGCACTCCCCGATTTTGTTTTTATACTGCCAATGCTGAAAAAAGACTGATTGGGCTTTCCTGCAAATTTGCACAACTCCTGTTTAAAAAGGGCTTATGTGTCAATCCTGTGATAGTCTGGTGACCTGTCCAGGTTGAACTCCGCCTCTCACCCAATGTCAGCTGAGATAGTCTCCACCCCCCCATGACCCCTAACAGGATAAGTGGTTACAGAAAATGAATGTGTGAACAGTGTCTGTCTCTCAGACAGAACAAAGACTCAGAATGTGTCATCAGCACTGACACTCGTCTTTTCCTGTGGTGTTCAGTAACACCCCCCCCCCCCCCCCCACACACACACACACACACACACACACCCTTCCAGGGAGAGTTGGGAAAATCCGTCCTCTGGGCGAGGGAGTGACATGTTGACTAATCACACAGTGACTCACTTTTCTCCAGAGCTGTCCAAAGATTCTGTGACTGATTCACAAACTTTACCTTTAATGGGATTATTTCATGTTTCATGTTCAACACAGGAAACTGTCAGGACAAGTGTCACAGTGTTTCAAACCTTTAGAAAGTCTTAAAAATGTTTTGTCCTTCTCACAGGCCTGTGTGGGTCTCTCTCAGTCCGCTGCTTAATCTCTGATTAGCGCTCAGAGTTTGGCGAGCTTGTGTGAATTCCTGCAGAGCTTTGAGTGGATCAATCAACCACAACACCTGCAAACACCTGTGTGGATGTTTAATCTTTAATCGGTAATACTGCAGCCGAATGAACAGGCTGATCATGTGATTTGTTTCCAGCTGCTGTCAGAGAGTTAACATGTCATCATCTGCGATGTCATCCAGAGCAAGTGTCCATAAACCCTCTCAGAAATCTTTGACAAGAGACACTACACAACTTAATTGTGTTTTTAAGTTTCCTTGTTTTGTGTGTGTGTGTGTGTGTGTGTGTATTCAACAATAGAAAGAAACAAAGCAGCAGTTTAAACGAAGCAGCAGATTAAATCTGCAGCTCTGTGAGGTGAAGCAGTGAAAGATTAAAATGTTTTCAGACGTCAGCTGATCTGGATTCAGACAGCGGCCCCTGACCTGCATCATCACTGGTGTGAGGGCCTTGACACACCACGCTGACAGTCTGTGTCGGTGAGCGTTGGTCGACCTGGTTTTTGCAGTGCGTCCTGCGTGTTGGCACTGGTCCACCTTATCGTCTGTTTTTTGACTGATTCATCATGTTGATTCGGCGTTGGAGCCGGCGGAGCCTATCTGTGAATGACATCACTGTGATGGTCAGTTCAGCTCGGCACACGAGAAGAGAAACGGAAGTGAGAAAATGAATCAAAGAGCTGAAGTCCAGAGGGAGAGAGACCAAAACAGACCTGTTACATGAGGTCAGATTATTGTTTCAGTCACTGAGCTCTTTAACAGAAACGTTTCCTGATGGTTTAAGTTGTTCTTCAGTTGTGCAGAGTAAATATAATCTGTTCCTTCATCACCAGGTTGGATTGTTAATGAGCTAACAGGCTAACTAGCGTCGTCAGTCCCTCCTGTTTCTTATTTTGAATGACGATCACAGACTACCACCATTACACCCTCAGGAAGTTCATCAGGTTTGAAGTCAATTTTCATAGTGGCCAAAAAGTTGTACTGCAATTTCTGGGGTTGGTCGCGTGATGTCATCGCGTCTAAAAATACTTTTTCCCATCAGCTTACATGGAGAACAAGACGTCTGAAGAAATCAGTGGATAGTTTTTTTTTCAGCGTCAAAACCCCACGATGATTCATTCCACTTTAAAGATTTAAACCATTCAGTCCGATCACATTTAGAAAGTCAAGAAGATAAAATCATTTTATCCCCTCTAAAGTTAGCAGAGCGCTGAACTGGAATTTAGTCCCTCGGCCAGCGGAAGTTGGACGCTCGGCCAACGCTCAGTGACCATGAGTCTCTAGTGCAGAGTCCTGCACAGGTCCATGACCATCACCTTACTGTCCTGAGTGTGGTGTTCGCCCTCACTCTCACTGGTTAAACTGGTGGACAACTGTTGCTGCTGTTTGTGCTGCTGGTTTGGACTCTGGTGGACACAGAGTACCAGAGACTGCAGGGAAATGTTGGACTGCTCCTTTAAGGTGTGTAACAGTTCTTTAATGAAGGAAATGTAATCAGATTTCTTTGTGCTCGCTCAGACCTGGTTCAGTCTGTCGTGTTTAATGAAACTCGTCCGTCCAGTTTTGAGTAAAAAAACTAACTCACTGTTTTATTTCAAACATGTCTGATCTTGGTTCAAACATATATTATCTGTGACATCATCAGGATGCTGCCGACAGGATGTGATGTCATTCTAACAGCAGATCAGCTACCTGCGGCTGAATGACAGGAAACACTGACACAATAAATATAAAATACACACACACACACTGAATGGAGTAAACCTGTCCTGAATCTTCATGTTTCAGAACTTCATTGAGTTTTCAGTGATTTTTGGCGCCCAGTAGAAACCAGACTTCCTTTCAGTGTGAATTTACCATCAAAACACAGAAATATAAAAATTAAAAAACATTTGAATAAAAAACTGTGAATGTGACAAAGACAGGATCCATGACGGTCTTTATAATATTATACTGGGACAGTGATCAGCTGTTTGTCAGTTGCAGAGTTCAAATGACGTTTTTGCTTCCTGTCTCTGCAGAGGACTTCCTGCCGGCGTTAAAGAGCCCTCTGGGTCTGGTGGGGGAGGGGGCGGCCAACGTACCGTCACAACGGACGCCGCTCACCAACGTGTCGCTCAAACATCCGCTCATCGAGATCCAGTGAGTGACCTCAGCATGTTGGTGTCTGAGCAGTCTGACAGTCTGTCTTATCAAGAGCACAGTCAGACTACGTTTCCCATGAGCCTCTGTGCATCAGGATCAAACCTGTTATATCTTTGTGTGTGTGTGTGTGTGTGTGTGTGTGTGTGTGTGTGCGTGCAGAAACTCGGTCCACAGTCTGCGTAAGAGGTCGTCTCAGGAGTGGAGTCAGAGTGTGTTTCATGTAGACGCTCCACCATGGACTCCACCCAACGCCACAGACACCAACAACACTACAGGTACGCTCACACACACTTTCCATTGTAAGAACTCATCAGTGCCTCTTCAGATACGATGACCTGATCACTCAAGATAATCCACAGACCTTGTTGTGACCAGGGACTGTTTTCTCTCTACTGAACTACACTCACCAGCTGTATCACTGCGCAGAAGGAAGCGTGCATCTACTCATGGACGAGAGGCTTGTGACAGTGTGAGGTGTAAACATTAATGGCGTCCTCCTCAGCTGAGCTGTGACGTTGGTTAGCTCAGTGATGCTAGGTGAGCTATCATCAGATGAACGCTTCCTCCTGCGCAGTGACACGGTCAGGTATCTGCAGGAGGGTCATGACCTTTGGGAGGAGACGCTGCTGTTGAGTGTTTACGGTGTATTTATTTATGTTGACTTGTTTCTGGGTTTAACCCTTCCTGTCCCACCTCAGCTCCTTCAGCTCCCATGACTCCCATTGAGCCCCCGACCCCACCCCCCCTCCTGTCATTGACTGAGCCGACAGGTCAGGTGTCCCCAGCTGAGGGCAGGGAGTCTCCTTCGCTGTTCGACAGACGGAACAGGAAGGCGAAGAATCGCAGGTCGTCCACCATGACGTTGTCCCGCACAGAGACGCTGCAGCAGGAGAAACAGATGCTGATGGAGGAAGTCAAAGCTCAGAAGGTGATCGATCACTGATCAGATCAATAACTAATAATTAAAAAAATAATGCTCTTTAAGATGAAAGCAATGATTCACTCAAATTTTGTTTCAGTAACTTGATGCCAGCCTCAGCGTTTGGTGGCGCTCTGGAGCCCGCTGCCCTCACCGCAGCTTGACCATGTCAGAACCTTTCACCAGCTCTGATGTCACTGTCAGTAATAACCTGTTTCCTGTCCAGGAGCTGGTGTGGATCCTCCACAAAGCCTTGGAGGCGTCTCAGCTGGAGAAACGAACCTGTGCAGAGTTTCTGGCGGAGAAAGGAGAGCAGGAGCGTCTGGAACTGCTGCGACACCGCGAGCGGCAGGCGGCCGACCTGCGAGGGCGGCTGGAGGAGGCGAAGACGGAGGCAGAGGCCACAAGGAGGAGTCTGGCTCAGAGAGACGCACAGCTGGCCGAGCTGCAGGAGAACATTGGGATGCTGAAGGAGAAGAACAATGCCAAGCAGGAGGTGAGGCCATGCCCACATGCATGAGTCATTCTGACAGATCTTGGTGAACACTCGCGCTCAGAGCAGATGCACCAGACTGATGACATTCTGCCTGCCACGTTTTGAGCTACATGTTTGTGGAGATTTCTGATGATTGGACAAATGGTTAATGACTTGTGGTCAATTCACTTTTAATTGAGCTCAGTCATTTATAACAGAATGTGTGTGTCAGTCCTGTGAGGCTGGGCAGGACACGTGTTTGATGGGAGCTTGTTTAATAATAATAATAATAATAACTATAATTTATATAGCGCCTTTCCCAAGGTCACTTTACAATACATAGTAAGGAAACAATAACACCAATAGAACAGTACAAAACAACACAAGCAGAACAGAAAAGCAACACAACTATAACAAACAGCAGAAAGCAGAGACACTGTGTGATGGTGCACTGGGCATGAGATGGATTATAGAATTAAAAAGCCATGGTGAACAGATGAGTTTTGAGGGTGGATTTGAAAATGTCCAGTAAAGGGCCGTTGTGGGTTACAGGGGGGAGAGAGCTCCAGAGGGTGGGGGCAGCGACGCTGAAGGCCCGGTCACCAAAAGTTCGGAGGCGGGAGTGAGGGATGAAGAGTAGGCCGGAGTCAGAGGAGCGCAGAGATCTGGACGGAGTGTAGGTGTGGAGGAGGTCCGATATGTACTGTGGGGCGAGGGCGTGGAGGAACTTGCAGGTGAGGAGGAGGATTTTGTAGATTATGCAGGACTTGACCGGGAACCAGTGGAGATGGATGAGGGTTGGGGTGATGTGCTGCCAGGGCTCGGTGCGGGTGAGGACCCTGGCAGATGAGTTTTGTACATATTGGAGCCTGTCCAGGGTTTTGTTGGGAACCCCGAACAGGACGCCATTGCAGTAGTCCAGGCAGGAAGTGATGAAGGAGGGGATGAGTGTTTCTGCAACTGAGTCGGTGAGTGATGGCCGGAGTCTGGAGATGTTTTCAGGTGGTGGAAAGCAGATTTGGTGACTGATTTGATGTGGGTCTGAAATGAGAAGGTGGAGTCGAGGATCACTCCCAGGTTGCGGACCTCAGCAGATGGTAAGATGGTGGCACCGTCAATGGTTAGGATTAGATCCCCAACCTTCCCAAGCTGTGCCTTGGGGGCCACAAGATAAGATAAGATACACCTTTATTGATCCCATAATTGAGAAATTCCAACCATGAGCTCTGTCTTGTTGCTGTTGAGTTTGAGTAGATTAGATGTCAACCAAGATTTTATTTCAAGGAGGCAATTGATGAGAGACTGAGGGGGCAGATGGGCAGATGGTTTTGTACTGATGTAGAGCTGGGTGTCGTTGGTATAAGAACGAAAGTTGAGACCATGGCGGCGGATGATCTTGCCTAACGGGAGCATGTAAATGTTTAACAGAAGGGAGCTATGCACCGAGCCTTGGGGGACACCGTGATTTAATGATTGTTAACGAATGAACGCTGTTTCCTGTCAGGTGATCATTAAGCTGTCGGATCAGGTGACTTCCTGTATGTCGTCAGGTGGTGGCTCAGACTCTCAGACCTTCAGACAGCTTCAGCAGGACGTTGAGAACCTGAAGGTGAAATAAAAATGTTCACAACACACATCAACATGTCGCTAAAATAAAACCCACAGTCCATCAGATCCTTTGTTCTGAGACTAAAAACTAATCAACATTAACGATCACAGTTATTGATCAGACACATCTTCTCCTCTCTGATTGGTCAGGACGACATCGAGGCGTATAAGACTCAGAACAAGTTCCTGAACTCGGAGATCTACCAGCTGACCAAACTGTGGAGGACCAGTTCAGAGCAGGAGAAGAGTCTGATGGTGAAGGTGGGTCAGACTGGGAACACTGGGACCAGTTCCATTACTGTTAATACAGGGGGCAGGGCTTCACTCTGTGTCCTGTCCTGTGATTGGCTGCAGTGTGCTTACCTGGAGGCCAGTAACTGTCAAGTGGAGAGCCGGTACCTGAACGTTCTGCGGCAGCTGCATGAGACCAAATCTCTGGATCCGGTCCAGCGGGGGGCCGTCCAGAAGATGATCGAGGACGCTCTGAAAGGAGAGCTGAAGAGTGTCCTCAAGCTCAATGTGGCCAGGTAAGAGGGACGGACTCAACACCTGGGGGACAGAATAACAGAGACACCTGGGGGACAGAATAACAGGAACACCTGGGGGACAGAATAACAGGGACACCTGGTCCTTATTGTCTCATATGTGTCTTGTGTCCTCAGAGACCACGATGAGTACGGCTTTAAGATCATCCCAGACTACGAGGTGGAGGACATGAAGCTGCTGGCAAAGATCCAGGCTCTGGAGATCCGCTCACACAACCTGCTGCATCAGGTCTGAACCCTCACCTGTAGACCTGTACACCTGTACACCTTGTACACTTGTAGACCTTGTACACCTGTAGACCTGTACACCTGTACACCTTGTACACCTGTAGACCTTGTACACCTGTAGACCTGTGGACCTGTACACCTGCACACTTGTAGGCCTTTAGACCTGTACACCTTTACACCTATCGATCTGTAGACTTGTACACCTGTAGACCTGTGGACCTGTGAGCAGAAGGTCCTTGATGAGGTTGGAACTCACAGGACAGAGGACGCAGATCTGACTTGGTGTGTATCTAAAGTCTGTCCCTGGGTCTCTCCCTGCAGGAGGCAGGAGAGCGCCCCCTGTTGAGTCGCTGGGCTCAGTACCTCGCCGGCAGGTCAGATGATGACCTCTGTCCCTCACCTGAGCTCAAATGTCTGCTCCGAGCCGGCGTCCCGAAGGAGTACCGACAGCAGGTGTGGCGCTGGGTGGTCAGAACCAGAACCAGGACCATCAGAGAGCGACACCCACAGCGCTACCAGCAGGTATGCAGGATGTTTACCTCATCCACACCTGTCCACACCTCATCCACACCTGTCCACACCTCATCCACACCTCATCCACACCTGTCCACACCTCATCCACACCTGTCTACACCTCATCCACACCTGTCCACACCTCATCCACATCTGTCCACACCTCATCCACACCTGTCTACACCTCATCCACATCTGTCCACACCTGATCCACACCTGTCCACACCTCATCCACACCTGTCCACACCTGTCTACACCTCATCCACACCTGTCCACACCTCATCCACACCTGTCCACACCTCATCCACACCTGTCCACACCTCATCCACATCTGTCCACACCTCATCCACACCTGTCCACACCTCATCCACACCTGTCCACACCTCATCCACACCTGTCCACACCTCATCCACACCTGTCCACACCTCATCCACACCTGTCCACACCTCATCCACACCTGTCCACACCTCATCCACACCTGTCCACACCTCATCCACACCTGTCCACACCTCATCCACACCTGTCCACACCTCATCCACACCTGTCCACACCTCATCCACACCTGTCCACACCTCATCCACACCTGTCCACACCTCATCCACACCTGTCCACACCTCATCCACACCTGTCCACACCTCATCCACACCTGTCCACACCTCATCCACACCTGTCCACACCTCATCCACACCTGTCCACACCTCATCCACACCTGTCCACACCTCATCCACACCTGTCCACACCTGTCTACACCTCATCCACACCTGTCCACACCTGATCCACACCTGTCCACACCTCATCCACACCTGTCCACACCTCATCCACACCTGTCTACACCTCATCCACACCTGTCCACACCTGATCCACACCTGTCCACACCTCATCCACACCTGTCCACACCTGTCTACACCTCATCCACACCTGTCCACACCTGATCCACACCTGTCCACACCTCATCCACACCTGTCCACACCTCATCCACACCTGTCCACACCTCATCCACCCCTGTCTCCACCTCAACCACCCCTGTCCACACCTGTCCACACCTCATCCCCACCTGTCCACACCTCATCCACACCTGTCCACACCTCATCCACATCTGTCCACACCTGTCCACACCTGATCCACACCTGTCCACACCTCATCCACATCTGTCCACACCTCATCCACACCTGTCCACACCTGTCCACATCTGTCCACACCTCATCCACATCTGTTCACACACGTCCACACCTCATCCACACCTGTCCACACCTCATCCACATCTGTCCACACCTGTCCACACCTGATCCACACCTGTCCACACCTCATCCACATCTGTCCACACCTCATCCACACCTGTCCACACCTGTCCACATCTGTCCACACCTCATCCACATCTGTTCACACACGTCCACACCTCATCCACACCTGTCCACACCTCATCCACATCTGTCCACAGCTGTCTACACCTCATCCACATCTGTCCACACCTGTCCACACCTCATCCACATCTGTCCACACCTCGTCCACATCTGTCCACACCTGATCCACAGTGTCACCTGTTACACCTGGCTGCAGGTTTAACTCTCCTGTTGTCAGTGACGTCTCAGTAATCCAGCTGTTGTGTTTCCAGCTGTGTGAGAAGAGTCGGACGTCTCCTCATTCAGCCTCCAGACAGATCCAGCTGGACCTTCACCGCACCCTCACAACCAATCAGCACTTCTCCTCACCCTCTAGCCCCGCCCTCCAGCAGCTCCGCCGCGTCCTATTGGCCTTCTCCTGGCAGAACCCTGCTATTGGCTACTGCCAGGGACTCAACAGGTACACACACACACACACACACACACACACACACACACACAGTCCCTGGTGTTTGTCTCCAGACAGAATGTCCTCTCTTTGTATTTGTGACGTTAAACGGATGCACACAGTCTGTGGCCTGTGACGTGTCATGTGACGACCTGTGTCTCTCAGGGTGGCAGCTATCGCTCTGCTGGTTCTTCAGAGTGAAGAAGAAGCCTTCTGGTGTCTGGTGGCCGTGGTGGAAGCCATCATGCCTCAGGACTACTACACCAAGAACCTGGTGGCCTCTCAGGTCGAGATCATTCAGTAACTCAGTTTATTGTTTTTTATCTTTAATGCTTCTGTCAGGACTCTTTACAGTTACACATATTTTATATTAGATGAAACTGTTGGACAGTGAGGAGTGTTGAAACACTGATGAACTCTCTAAGCTGACAAGTTGATATTTTATCATCTTAAAGTTGTTGTTTTAACTGGATTTAATAACGTGTTGTTTATTTCTGAGTGTGAAGCTCATATGTCCCATTTTTTCCTGCTGACATAAACACATCATCAGTGAACTGAGCTGCAGCTGCTCAGCTGCGTTTATAAAAACAACCTGAACCAGAGGTCAGTGTAACTGTTTGATCAGAGTTATTGATCAGAGTGATTGATTGATAGTTTGTGCGTGTTTAGGCGGACCAGCGGGTGCTGAAGGACTTCCTGTCGGAAAAACTTCCCAGACTGGCGGCTCATTTTGAGGATTACGGCATCGACGTGTCTCTGATCACCTTTAACTGGTTCATGGTGATTTTTGTGGAGAGTCTGCCGAGTGACATCCTGCTGCCACTGTGGGACGCCTTCCTGTATGAGGGCACCAAGGTACCACACACACACACACACACACACACACACACACACACAGTGAGAAATAAATAAACAGACTCATAAAAAGATTTTTGGAAAAGATATGGTTTTGTACAAGTGTCTTCAATCTGTATTGTCCCCACTTTGCGTCAGTGTCCCCACTTTGCACCAGTGTCCCCTCTTTGCGTCAGTGTCCCCACTTTGCGTCAGTGTCCCCTCTTTGCACCAGTGTCCCCTCTTTGTGTCAGTGTCCCCACTTTGCACCAGTGTCCCCACTTTGTGTCAGTGTCCCCACTTTCCGTCAGTGTCCCCGCTTTGCATCAGTGTCCCCACTTTCCATCAGTGTCCCCACTTTGCATCAGTGTCCCCATTTTGTGTGAATGTGTCCATTTTGTACTAATATAGTGTCCACACACTTGACGCAGCCCCTTTCATTAACAGAGTTGTTATTCAATTATCATGTTACTGTTTCTTCTTCCAGGAAGTGACTTGAAGGAAAAATTTAACACGTGGGAACAATTTGATACGTCTCACTCTTGATCTATAATGATTTATTGTTTAGTTTTGACATGTGTCAGGTCTTAAACATTATAAAACTATGTCATTAAAATTGAAAATACAGATTGTGCCTTTTATAAAATACATTTTTACTCCAGTAGTTTTATATACTTTTTGATTTTACTTCCTTATGTCCTTGTTGTACTTTATGATTTCTGTTTTCTGTTGACTACAGTTTTGGAAAGTTGTAAAGTTTATTCAATAGAAGACTCATCATCAGAAAGTATTTATAGTATCACAGGTTAAAGTTCTTTGAGGTGGAGCTAATTTCAACCACTTCATATACAGTATAACGTTATAAAATAATCCTTGTGTCACACTGAGCAGCAAAAACAAACTTAACTGTCTGTAAACAAGAAGTAAACCAGAGTAAAGTCAGAACATTTAAATATTTTTTAAACCACAAACACAGTCTGTGTCTTAAAACAAGAAATAAAACTTTCTGAGAGCTCACCTGAGTGGTTTGTGTTGCAGGTGATTTTCAGGTACGCTCTGGCTCTATTTAAATACAAAGAGGACGACATCCTGAAGATCCACGACAGCGTGGAGATGTACCAGTACCTGCGTTTCTTCACCAAGACCATCTCTGACGGCAGGTAAAGACTCACCTGGTCCGACCTGACCTCACACATCAATGTTTTCATACCATGTTTCATGTTGAGATCTTTCTGTTTATCACAGCTGTAATGCTGCCACCTGTTGTAACTCAGACACAACGCTGCAGGACTCCACTGAGAATTGTTTTTGAGTTTGTTTTTGAGTTTTCTTCAGGATCAGTGATCCAGTGAGAACCGAGGGAGAATAATGTCATAACAACACGCTCAGAAATCAACTGTCTTTAGTCTGAATTCTGTCGACTTGAAGAAATCTAAACATTTTGAACCACAGACTGACATCTGCGAGCGTCACGTACAAACACTGTGTGTGTGTGTGTGTGTGTGTGTGTGTGTACCTGCTGCAATAGTTTGCTCAGGCAGTCAGTATAATCATTTTTTAAGCGAGCATGTTGAACATTTGATGGTTCTAGTTGTGATTGTTTGCTGCTTTGCTTCTTGTTGGATATCAGACTGAATATATTTTGACTGTTGGTCAGACAGAACATCTGATATTACATGGTGCTCTTTTTAGTATAAAGAGTCGAAGTTGTTACGTTAGGAAAGGTGTTTCTTCGCTGTGATCTGGACTGAACCTCAGAAACTCTACAGAACCAAACTGCAGGTATTTCCTGCCTTTGTACTGTTGTGGATGAACCGGCTAATGTTGCTGTTGTTGGCTCCTGCAGGAAGCTGATCAGCGTCGCCTTCAACGACATGAACCCGTTCCCCGGCCGCCTGCTGAGGAACCGGCGAGCGATTCACCGGGAGCGCCTGCAGGCGGAGCTGCGAGAGCTGGAGGAGCAGCAGAAGGAGTTTGTCACGGAGAGTGCCGAACGTAAAGACAAAGAGCTCGACACCATGGTCAGCGAGGATGACGAGGAACTCTGATCTCACTCACAGATTTATTTTGACGACAATCAGTCGACACACAGCTGCTTCTACGTTAGCTACCTGAAACTGCTGCTGCAGCTGAACACAAGTCTGATTGTAAAGTTAACAGTTTAGCTCATGGATAGTTGTTAGCTAACACAAAACATGAATGAACTACAAGCGCTTCTGCCCATATAGATCAGCACTACTACTGTAAACCCACACAAAAACTGACCCAGATTCACTGCTAACTGACACTTACACTGCTAACTGACGTAGTTACAATGCTAATTGACAGTTACACTGCTAACTGACATTTACACTGCTAACTGACGTAGTTACAATGCTAACTGACAGTTACACTGCTAACTGATGTAGTTACAATGCTAACTGACAGTTACACTGCTAACTGACGTGGTTACACTGCTAACTGACAGTTGCAATGCTAACTGACGTAGTTACAATGCTAACTGATGTGGTTACAGTGCTAACTGACATAGTTACAATGCTAACTGACAGTTAGACTGCTAACTTATGTAGTTAGAACACTAACGGACATAGGTACACTGCTAAGTGTTGTAATTACACTTTGCATATTGCAGAAGTTTCACTACTGACACAGTTAGACTGCTAACGTATGTAGTTACTCTGCTAAGTGTTGTAACTTTTCTTATTGACGTAGTGACACTACTGACACAATTACACAGCTAGCTGACATAGTTACACTGCTAACTGACATAGTTACACTGCTAATTGACATAGTTACACAGCTAGCTGACATAGTTACACTGCTAACTGACATAGTTACACTGCTAAGTGCAGCTGTTCAAGTCTTCAGTCTCTTTGAAATATAAAATCTGTTTTTATCACACGATGAACAAATAAACATAGGACAACATTTTATTGTTAATAAGATTCAGGGTTCGGTTATAAAGCCTCAGATAATCATGTTCACGTCTCTCCCAGAGAGAATTAGTGTCATCGTTCAGTCTGATACCACCGTAAGCTCCATGCTAATGTTTTATTTTATTTTGTCTCATCTGACTTTTTGTTGGTGATAAACTGTGATTTATTGTTCAGCTCATTAATTGTTAATGAGCTGACAGTGTTCTTAGGTGGCAGTCACAGTTATAAAGTGCCAAGTGAGAAAATAACGCTAATGCTAACAGAAGCTAACCTGCTTTGTTTTTGTATTATAAGAAGCCAAATAAAAATAACAGGTTGACTCAATAACTTTCCAATAAGTCTGACGGTAATAACTGTCATGAAAAACTGTAGCTGTGTTATAAAGTAAAGTATTGTGATGTGAACAGTCTTAGCTTCACACCTGCTGCTAACACTGGTTGCTAATGTTTGTTTGTATGTTTGTGAACCACTGGTTCATTTTGTCTTCTTGTCATTCAAATCTTATTTTTTATTTTATTTTATTGTGGGTTTGTAAAAATATTCAGTAAATTAAAGTGTTGGATTTGATTTTCCTGATGACATCACGCTCACGTCATAACGTGCTCGACTGCTGAAATTACAAACACATACTTGTGGACTTTGGCCTGAGATGTTTCCATTAATGTTTATTATTCCAAAACACAAATCTTAATATCGATCCATCTATTTTCTAACCGCTTAACCTCTTGAGGGTTGCGGGGGGCTGGAGCCTATTCCAGCTGACACTGGGTGAGACAGACAACCATTCACACTCACATTCACACCTACGGACAATTAAGAGTCACCGATTAACCTGCATGTCTGAAACCCACACTGACACGTGGAGAACACGCAAACTCCGCACAGAAGGGCTCCCACACCTGGGATCGAACCGGGAACCCTCTCACTGTGAGGCGACAGTGCTAACCACTGTACCACTGTGCTGCCAGAAACCTGAAATCTTAATATAATAAAGTCAGAGTTGATTTGTTCTGATATAAAGGAGGTCTGAGGACTCAGATATAGACAGAAAAGACTTTCTCAGTCTGTCTGTGAACGTTTTATTAAACACGTTTATTTTCTCTGTGAATTTACAAAACTGTCTTTAATCTTTGATTCTGTGTATTTACACAACAGTCGAGCAGTGTATTTTAAATATTACTTTATTAATGTGTAAATAAACTAAATCAGGTAGTTTGTAAATCTACAATCAATCAAGTCATCAGGGATCAATTCAGCCTTCATATCAACAGTTTAAAGGAGCAGTCCAACGCATTAAAAATCAGCTGTGATGATGTCAGCAGTCATGTGACCATCAGGTAAACGTGGTTCTGACACAACGACGCCTCCTCACACCGTCTCAGATGAGTCACACCGAGATGACTCTGTGACCTTTGACCTCCGTCCTGATGACGAAGAGTACGACACGTTGTTCCCCAGAGAAGACTGTTTATCCTCGGAGTTGCCGCGGCAACACAGCACGTTCCTGGCCTTCTCCCTGAACTCCACCGACACGAAGTAGAAGATGAAGGGGTCGATGCAGCTGTTGAAGGTGCTGACTGCTAAGCTAACCATGTAGGGGACATACATGTCCTCACCGTCTCCCTCCAGCGAGCTGTCAACGTAGGTGAGGAGGAGGAGGATGTTACTGGGCAGCAGACATACGATGAACACCAGCAGCACCAGTACCGTCACCCGGACGGCGTGACCGTAGCGCTTCCCCTCAGCCAGCAGAGTGCGCAGTACGGCGCCGTGGCAGAACAGTACGACTAGGAAGGGCAGCAGGAAGCAGACGGTAAACAAGGTGGCGAAATACGGCAGGAAGTAGCTCTCCTGGTCCTCCTCCGGCAGTGCATCATGGCAGGTGGTGATCTGCAGCTCATCCAGCATGTAGGTCTGCTGCGACACCAGCAACGGCAGCATGGCGGCCAACACCACCGTCCACACCGCCGCCGACATGTACAGAGATACCCGCTGGCTGCGCAGCGTCTTGGCACCAAACGGGTGGACCAAAGCAATGTACCGGTCCAGAGCCACCAGTGCCAGACACAGCACAGACCCATACATGTTGCCGTAAAACATCGCCATGACGATGCGGCAGAAGGGCTCGCCCAGCTCCCAGTTGTTTCCTCTGAAGTGGTACACGATGCGGAATGGCAGCGCCAACAGCAGCAGGCAGTCGGCGGCGGTGAGGTTGATGAGCAGCGTAGTGGATGGCAGCTGTTTGGTCCTGAACAGCAGGACCCACAGAGCCAGCAGGTTGGAGGGGAGACCCACCAGGAACGCCAGCAGGTAGAGGATCGGCAGGTACACGTTGGTGGTCGGAGCCTGGATCTCCTTCAGCTGCCGCTCCTTCAGGGTGGTGAAGTTACACTTCATCTTCAGCTTGAACGCACGCAGACCTGCAGAGACCACAACACACATCAGATTGTAGACCTGCAGAGACCACAACACACATCAGACTGTAGACCTGCAGAGACCACAACACACATCAGACTGTAGACCTGCAGAGACCACAACACACATCAGACTGTAGACCTGCAGAGACCACAACACACATCAGACTGTAGACCTGCAGAGACCACAACACACATCAGACTGTAGACCTGCAGAGACCACAACACACATCAGACTGTAGACCTGCAGAGACCACAACACACATCAGACTGTAGACCTGCAGAGACCACAACACACATCAGACTGTAGACCTGCAGAGACCACAACACACATCAGACTGTAGACCTGCAGAGACCACAACACACATCAGACTGTAGACCTGCAGAGACCACAACACACATCAGACTGTAGACCTGCAGAGACCACAACACACATCAGACTGTAGACCTGCAGAGACCACAACACACATCAGACTGTAGACCTGCAGAGACCACAACACACATCAGACTGTAGACCTGCAGAGACCACAACACACATCAGACTGTAGACCTGCAGAGACCACAACACACATCAGACTGTAGACCTGCAGAGACCACAACACACATCAGACTGTAGACCTGCAGAGACCACAACACACATCAGACTGTAGACCTGCAGAGACCACAACACACATCAGACTGTAGACCTGCAGAGACCACAACACACATCAGACTGTAGACCTGCAGAGACCACAACACACATCAGACTGTAGACCTGCAGAGACCACAACACACATCAGACTGTAGACCTGCAGAGACCACAACACACATCAGACTGTAGACCTGCAGAGACCACAACACACATCAGACTGTAGACCTGCAGAGACCACAACACACATCAGACTGTAGACCTGCAGAGACCACAACACACATCAGACTGTAGACCTGCAGAGACCACAACACACATCAGACTGTAGACCTGCAGAGACCACAACACACATCAGACTGTAGACCTGCAGAGACCACAACACACATCAGACTGTAGACCTGCAGAGACCACAACACACATCAGACTGTAGACCTGCAGAGACCACAACACACATCAGACTGTAGACCTGCAGAGACCACAACACACATCAGACTGTAGACCTGCAGAGACCACAACACACATCAGACTGTAGACCTGCAGAGACCACAACACACATCAGACTGTAGACCTGCAGAGACCACAACACACATCAGACTGTAGACCTGCAGAGACCACAACACACATCAGACTGTAGACCTGCAGAGACCACAACACACATCAGACTGTAGACCTGCAGAGACCACAACACACATCAGACTGTAGACCTGCAGAGACCACAACACACATCAGACTGTAGACCTGCAGAGACCACAACACACATCAGACTGTAGACCTGCAGAGACCACAACACACATCAGACTGTAGACCTGCAGAGACCACAACACACATCAGACTGTAGACCTGCAGAGACCACAACACACATCAGACTGTAGACCTGCAGAGACCACAACACACATCAGACTGTAGACCTGCAGAGACCACAACACACATCAGACTGTAGACCTGCAGAGACCACAACACACATCAGACTGTAGACCTGCAGAGACCACAACACACATCAGACTGTAGACCTGCAGAGACCACAACACACATCAGACTGTAGACCTGCAGAGACCACAACACACATCAGACTGTAGACCTGCAGAGACCACAACACACATCAGTCTGTAGACCTGCAGAGACCAGGACACACATCAGTCTGTAGACCTGCAGAGACCACAACACACATCAGACTGTAGACCTGCAGAGACCACAACACACATCAGACTGTAGACCTGCAGAGACCACAACACACATCAGACTGTAGACCTGCAGAGACCAGGACACACATCAGTCTGTAGACCTGCAGAGACCCCACAACACACACCAGACTGTAGACCTGCAGAGACCACAACACACATCAGTCTGTAGACCTGCAGAGTTCCAATGTTTCTGCTATGCGTATTTTGTGTACTGAGTTGCTTTGCTGGCATCGTTGATCAACAAAATGTCTCCCAGTTTCCAGTCTTGATGCTCAGACAGCTGTTTCCTCCTGCACACTAACCAGGTGTGGCAGCAGCAGACCAGCAGTTCCAGTGCTCTGTGAGGTTAAATGACTGTTTTTGTCAGTGGAGTCTGGAGGTTTTGATATAACGGCTTTAGTTCCTAGGCGTTTTTCAGGTTGTGACTGAAGTTAACATTCAGCTACACACAAGTCCATTTTTAATCTCTGGCTTCAGTTCCCTGTTGGAACGGGCTGTTCGTCTGACGGTGAGGTGGTGAAAATATCCTGAACACAGCAAACACTTAAACTTTGTTTAATTAATCAAACAGGTAATAGACCCATTAACTGTTAGTTAACACTATGACATTTTTTGGTGGGCGGGGCTTAGCTGGAGGCAAAACAGTTCTCCACAGACATTAGCTAGCGCTAGCTAACAAGTTGTGTTGTCTTGTTTTAGACGATGGAGGAAGATGATGTGAGTGGTGCGTTCAGAAACACTCATTGTGAGTGTGGGAGCGCACTCTGACACAAACTGGAGCGTTGATAAATTGGGAGCGCTGTCTGAATGTAGCGTTGGGTTATCCAGAGCAGCGCACTCTCAGAGTGGCAGAGCGCACTCTGGACACTCTGTCTGTGGAGACGGAGATTCCAGGTGTCTGTAGAGTATCAGACACCAGTATGTGTCGCTATGTGACGGGATCACAGGTCAGTCTGATGGCACAGTCGTGAACTTTGTCTCTAACTGACCTGATAAAAGTTCCTGTTAGTGAATATTTAAAGTCTCTCATCTCCTTAAACAAGGTGACACATATGTTTGTTGCAGTTTACTGAATTTAGGATAAAAAATGTCTGAATAAAACATTCAGAGGATCTTTTAAAGATTAGTATTATAAGCACTATGAGTGAGCAGCACTCTGTCGTAGCCCACAGGTGACGAACACACAGTGGTGGTGGTTTCTCATCAGGCTGAAACTTTTTAAACACAACGAGACTGATTCATGATTATATATCAGTGTTCTCACTGTGTCACATGTTCAGACTGGAGTTTAACACACAACAATATATATTAATACTATACTGTACTGTACAACTGTAATGTCCCCACTATAATAAAATGTCCCCACTTTGATAAAATGCCCTCACTATAATAAAATGTCCTCACTGTGATAAAATGTCTTCACTTAAACAAAATGTCCTCACTGTGATAAAATGTCTTCACTTTAATAAAATGTCCTCACTATAATAAACAGTCTTTCAGAGACATAAAGTCAACCTGGTCCTCTCAAAGGTAGAAGAACAGGGACAGACACACAGGTTGAGTTCATACAGGGAGGATCCTGAGAGTCAATTAAAACATGTCCTGATCTGAAGCAAGGGCTGCTGGGAATCGAACCTGTCTCTACCTGTCCATGTGCTCGGAGGGGACAGAAGAAGAAGACTTACGGACAGACATGCTGGAACAGTTATCTGTAGGGCGAGGAGACGAAGAGACGCTGCAGATGGTCGACAGCAGAGAGACGAAGACCAGAGTCCCAAAAACCAACTTCATCTTCCTCTTGTCCTTCTTACACTTCTTCTTCTTCTTCTTCTTCTTCCTCTTCTCTTGTTGTCCTCCTCCTAGCTCCTACAGCCCCTCGTTTTAACAGCTGTATCTCTGAGTTTTTGTGAATGTCTCGGCAGCAGCAGCTCTTTTCCTCTTCCTCAAACTGCCCTGTGGTTTTGCAGAACATCAGCAGTCCTCTGGTGGTGGTGTGTTTGTGGTCGTATCAGGAGGACCTGCAGTATCAGAGCTGTGACGCTCAGCAGCCTGTTTGTGTTATCTGAGCCCAGAGCTGCCGGTGTTGACTCGCCTCCTCTGCTAATGGCATCCAGATGTGTGTGTCTGTGTGTGTGTGTGTGTGTGTGTGTGTGTGTGTGTGTGTGTATGGTATGTCTGTCTTTGTGGGGACCAGCTGGAGGAGGCCCTGGTTAGTGGGGACATGTTGAACATGTCGTCTGGGTTCAGATGAGTTAAATATTTACATGTAATGTTTGGAAACTGCATTGTGTTCTCACAAACACAGAAGTAGGAACGTGTGTGTGTGTGTGTGTGTGTGTGTGTTGTTCCTCCCACGCTGTGATTCAATCGATGATGGAAACATTTAAGTGCTTAGCTTCCTTCATCAAACAGGAAATGCCTCTGACCTTTCTGTAACTAATCGTGCTCTCAGCCCCGCCCCTAAAACACTGATGAACTGACTGCAGCTCAGCAATAGTGTTTTTCCATATGCTGAGATAGTGTGACAGATTAGAGGACAAAAGACCCCTGAGGATGGACAGAGAAGAGTCCACCATCTCCTCTACAGAGGAGTTAAGACACCCAAACTGAAAGAGACCCAAAACAACCACAAAGACACAAACTGACCACAAAGAGATGCAAAATTACTTCAGACAGATGTAAAACATTTACACAGAGACTTGAAACAACTTTAAAGAAACACAGAACAAGTACAAAGAGTGTTAAAACATCACAGAGACACAGAATAACTACAAAGAGACATGAAGCGACTGCACAGAGACAGAATATAGAGACACATTCCTGCTGCTCCCTCTACATTTCTTCTTTCCTGTTGGTGATAAGCAGGTTTCCTGTCTCTGTTGTTCTGCAGCAGACAGTTTAAATTAATACTGAACATCTGCTGTGGTCACCATGACGACAGAAACACAAAGTTAGGGATGAGGACGCGTATGAACATAAAACATGTAGAAACATAAACATGTACAGGAGGAGTTGTTCCAGACGTGATGCAGACAGAAGGTTCTCACTGTCAGTTCTCTAGTCCTGTGAGATGTCATCATCACAGTTTAATGGTTCCAGTGGGTCTGTGAAGAAAACGTTGTTTTCCTCGAATGTCTAATGATCTAACAGACATTTTGTTGGTAAAATATGCTTTCAGTGGTTGTCGTGGTGACTGAGGAGGTTCTAAGGGTTCCTTAAGAGGTTGTTTTGTAGTTCTTGTCCTCAGTGAGTTTGTTCCAGGGTGGTTATGGATGAGACGTGTTAGAGGTGTTCTAGAGGTCCAGCTGGTAGGAGGCCCCGGGGCACACTGGAGCCCAAATCTGATATGTATGTATATATATCAGATTTGGGCTTGGGAAGCCAAATGCAGGAGGTCTGACACTGCAGGTGTCACAGTGGGCTGGTGGCCAGCAGCAGCACAGGGTCCAACCTGTATAATAGCAGCAACAGGAAGTTTGCTGATCCTCCGGGAGGTCGGGGCTGTCAGGTTCCTGGAACTGTGGGTTTGATCTGGCTGTGTTCAGGTTGATGTGGCCATCTGTGATATTGACACATGTTGTATTCACTTTATTATCAGACTCTGTTGATCAGTCCTTCTTCCTGTGTCGGGGGTCTCTGCAGTGTAAACAGTTGTAAACTGGAGGAAACCCACGCTGACACAGGGAGAACATGACGGAGCACCTGGAAGAAACCCACGCTGACATGGTGAGAACATGTCGGAGCACCTGGAGGAAACCCACGCTGACACAGGGAGAACATGACGGAGCACCTGGAAGAAACCCACGCTGACATGGTGAGAACATGACGGAGCACCTGGAAGAAACCCACGCTGACACAGGGAGAACATGACGGAGCACCTGGAAGAAACCCACGCTGACATGGTGAGAACATGACGGAGCACCTGGAAGAAACCCACGCTGACACAGGGAGAACATGACGGAGCACCTGGAAGAAACCCACGCTGACATGGTGAGAACATGACGGAGCACCTGGAAGAAACCCACGCTGACACAGGGAGAACATGACGGAGCACCTGGAAGAAACCCACGCTGACATGGTGAGAACATGACGGAGCACCTGGAAGAAACCCACGCTGACACAGGGAGAACATGACGGAGCACCTGGAAGAAACCCACGCTGACATGGTGAGAACATGACGGAGCACCTGGAAGAAACCCACGCTGACACAGGGAGAACATGACGGAGCACCTGGAAGAAACCCACGCTGACATGGTGAGAACATGACGGAGCACCTGGAAGAAACCCACGCTGACACAGGGAGAACATGACGGAGCACCTGGAAGAAACCCACGCTGACATGGTGAGAACATGACGGAGCACCTGGAAGAAACCCACGCTGACACAGGGAGAACATGACGGAGCACCTGGAAGAAACCCACGCTGACATGGTGAGAACATGTCGGAGCACCTGGAAGAAACCCACGCTGACACAGGGAGAACATGACGGAGCACCTGGAAGAAACCCACGCTGACATGGTGAGAACATGACGGAGCACCTGGAAGAAACCCACGCTGACACAGGGAGAACATGACGGAGCACCTGGAAGAAACCCACGCTGACATGGTGAGAACATGACGGAGCACCTGGAAGAAACCCACGCTGACACAGGGAGAACATGACGGAGCACCTGGAAGAAACCCACGCTGACATGGTGAGAACATGACGGAGCACCTGGAAGAAACCCACGCTGACACAGGGAGAACATGACGGAGCACCTGGAAGAAACCCACGCTGACATGGTGAGAACATGACGGAGCACCTGGAAGAAACCCACGCTGACACAGGGAGAACATGACGGAGCACCTGGAAGAAACCCACGCTGACATGGTGAGAACATGACGGAGCACCTGGAAGAAACCCACGCTGACACAGGGAGAACATGACGGAGCACCTGGAAGAAACCCACGCTGACATGGTGAGAACATGTCAGAGCACCTGGAGGAAACCCACGCTGACACAGGGAGAACATGTCAGAGCACCTGGAGGAAACCCACGCTGACACAGGGAGAACATGTCAGAGCACCTGGAGGAAACCCACGCTGACACAGGGAGAACATGTGGGAGCACCTGGAGGAAACCCACACTGACACAGGGAGAACATGTCGGAGCACCTGGAGGAAACCCACGCTGACACAGGGAGAACATGTCAGAGCACCTGGAGGAAACCCACGCTGACACAGGGAGAACATGTCAGAGCACCTGGAGGAAACCCACGCTGACACAGGGAGAACATGTAGACTCCGCACAGAAGGGCTCCCACTGCACTACCGTGCCGCTCTTTAAAACTCATTAAAATAATAAAATATATCAAAGATAATCTATAGCTCTTGTTATTGATCTGTTATTATTTATTGGTGATCAGCTGCTGAAACAGGAAACAGAAGTGACAGAGCTGATTCACCAACGAGACTTAACTGAGGCTGCTGCAGTTACTCACTGCATCCACCAGGTGTCAGTCCTGACCCATCATCATCATCATCATCATTGCCCCCCACTGACCTTCATCACTGCTCATCATCACCAATCTGTAACGTCTACATATTCAAACATATGTCATTCCTGCTGCGTCACTTTAACACGTCTCCCTCAAACTCAGCCTGTCAATCAAAATAATTACCTCCTTTTATTTATCATTTATTATTATTATTATTGTTTTCATTATTTTTCCAGAGACTGTCGTCTGTGTTTGAATGTAAAAGGATGAACAAAGTGTTTTTGTATAGTTAAACTCTTCAGTGGAGTGTTATCATCTATAGACGTACACATTAAATCCCCTGTGTTGATTTTAGTATTCAGTTCAAACTTCAAACTCACAGATCATCACACGGTCAGACTCCCCTGATGTACCTGAACCTCTTCACCTGTGTTCTTCAGCTCTCTTTGATCAGATACACTAAATCTGTTGTCAGTCCCTCACACTCATCTTCAGACCCGTGATGATCGAGTTTTTGAACTTTGGCCCCTTAGAATAGAATAAATCTTTATTGTCCACCAGACCTTCAGTCCAACACTGAAGGTACACAGCACTAAACAGTCAACAGCACCTTACAAACAGACAACAATTCTTAAGCACAGTAAAAACACAATAAAGCAAGTAAGATAAAATAAATAAGCAGTCGAGCAGTTCAAGTCCGTATCTGTGGAGTTGAGCTGATGGCATTTGGAATAAAGGACGTTTTAAAAACACTTGTGGCCAAAGAGATGCTGTAGCACCTCCCAGATTGTTCTGCTGACTCTGTGGGTTCTTTCAAAAGTCATCCAAAGACGCACCTGTTCAGACAGGTGTCTGCACCAGATCTCTATTATATTCATATTTTGTGTGTTGTTGTCATTGAGAAGTCTTCTTTGTGCCAGTAGTTTTGCTGGTTGTGCACCTTTAATTACGTGGCTCGTGTTGTCACTTTGTCCTGTTTTCTGTCTTGTTCATGTCCTTGTGAAGCTCCTTATGACCGACGTCTGCAACAAGAGATGTATAAATACATTCACTTACATACACAGTGGGTGTTTTGTCTGCATATATCTTTGAAAATAAAGACAGTGAAGTGTGTGACTTATTTTTGTTTTATTTTCATGTTTTGTTGTTTTTACGTTGTGTACGTGCTCTGATGAAATGTCCTGACTATAATAAGTGTGTCTGTTCCTGTTTAACATGTTTAAATGTGTGCTTTTGTAGTTTTCATTTACAGGTGAAAATGAACCAAGATGGCTGAACTGACACATTCAGAGAAATGTTTATTTATTCATTTATTATAAATGTTATTTCCAATAACAAAGACACATGATGACACACAGACAGGAGGGCAGGGGTGGGTACATGTTAATAACATATGAAATGATGAAACAGAGAGAAGATGTACGGGAGCTGCTGTGTGGAGCACAGAAAGTATTTCAGCCAGTGATATCTGTGGTTGTAGAAAGAGTGCAAACAAACTAGATGACGGTCAGTACAAGGACAAAAACACACAAAAGAAAAATCAGTAATTTTAGGTGGATGAATGAATGAATACAGTGGTAACTGTGCACGTGTGAGTGTTTCCACACATAAACAGAAAGGTTTATTAATGTGCACAGTCCCTGGGAGCACTTACTGTATCAAAAAGGAAATGCAATTTAAAAAATAGAATAAAATAAAAATGTTATAACAAAGAAATCAAAAAAATTTTGGCTACAAATTGATGACAGCAGCAGCAGAGAGGAAGCTCCACATCAGCTGCTAAAGATCATTATTATTATTATTATTATTATTGTTGTTGTTATTTTCTGTATTGTGATAATTGAGAGTTACAATAAGCAGACAGACAGACGGACGGACGGACGGACGGGCGGTCTGTCTCTCGGCAGGTATCGCGACAGCTGATCCAAATCTCAGGTACCTAAACATGAAGGTAACGCACACGCGCCCTGTCTGCCGCCTCCCCGTGCCGTGGCTCTGCGCCTGCGCAGTGCGCCCCAAACTGAGAGACGGAGAGACGGGGCTCGAGCCTCCGCACCGTGACAACAACCAGCGGGAACAAAACCGGAATAAAACACCGACCAACAGCAGGATCCAACGGCCGTGAACCCTCCGAGCCCCACCGGACACTCACCGGGAGAACAGCGGCAGAGGAGGCGGGAGGAGAGCGGAGGCAGGCGGGGGTCCGCAGCCCGGGAGCCTGCCTGTCTGTCCGCCTGCAGACGGTAAGACAAAGCGGACTGAAGCAGCTGCGAGCGCCGCTTTTAAACGTCGTGTTAACACTGAGTCACGGTACCGGATTCACCGCGGCGCCTTAAAACGAGCCGTTATTCACCGGAGGTCTGAGAGTGACGTGTGTTTTTACCCGCGGACGGTGTGAGGACGGAAGTCGTGAAGGTCCAGATGTTGGCCTGGTGATGATGCTCCATGTTCTGACAGACACACTGACACCACGGTCTGTCCTGTCCCCTTCAGCATGAACCAGGGCCTGTAGACACTGTGAGGACCCGCTGGAGACATCCGGGACATTTGATGTCCATAAACAGACTGGAGGACATTAATAAAACAAACAGGTGGACACTGCGGTCCTCACGAGGACAGGAAGTGGTTGTTTAAAGGAATTTCTTTTTGTTTCCTGACAGTTTGGATGTAACAGAGACACCATGTCCCTGAGGTGGACTCAGCTACCTGTCCCGGTGGTCCTGGTCCTGGTCCAGGTCCTGGTCCTCTGTCGCTCAGTGTTGGCGGCTCGCTCTGACAGAAACATGGTGTCAGAGGAGTACGTGGGCGCCACGGTGAACGCCACGGTGCTGGACGGACGAGGGAACACCATCCACATGATGAGCAGCGACGACGGGACGTATGGACAGAACTCACCGAAAGTGGACACCAGGGGTGTCGTCATCGCACCTGCACCACATCACGGAGGTACTGACATCACAACACACCTGACGTCACACACCTGACGTCACAACACACCTGAGGTCACACACCTGAGGTCACAACACATCTGAGGTCACACACCTGTGGTCAGACACCTGTGGTCAGACCACACCTGAGGTCACAACTCACCCGAGATCACAACTCATCTGAGGTCACACACCTGAGGTCACAACTCACCTGAGGTCACACACCTGAGGTCACAACTCACCTGAGGCCACACACCTGAGGTCACACACCTGAAGTCACAACTCACCTGAGGTCACACACCTGAGATCACGACTCACCTGAGGTCACACACCTGAGGTCAGACCACATCTGAGGTCACAACTCACCTGAGGTCACACACCTGAGGTCACACACCTGAGGTCACACACCTGAGGTCACAAACCTGAGGTCACAACTCACTTGAGGTCACAACACACCTGAGGTCACAACTCACCTGAGGTCACACACCTGAGGTCACAACTCACCTGAGGTCACACACCTGAGGTCACAAACCTGAGGTCACAACACACCTGAGGTCACAACACACCTGAGGTCACAACACACCTGAGGTCACAACTCACCTGAGGTCACACACCTGAGGTCACACACCTGAGGTCACAAACCTGAGGTCACAACACACCTGAGGTCACAACACACCTGAGGTCACAACTCACCTGAGGTCACTCACCTGAGGTCACAACTCACCTGAGGTCACACACCTGAGGTCACAACTCACCTGAGGCCACACACCTGAGGTCACACACCTGAAGTCACAACACACCTGAGCTCTGTGAAGCAGGATTGAGGGTCAGTCAGGTAACTTCAGTGTTTTCAGTCTTATGAAGTTTGTCCACTTTTTATGGTGACAAATCACCATGGTAACTAATGTTGAACAATTCACCTGCTCTGGAGCAACACCCTGTCAACACCTGACCTCTGACCAATCAGATCACTGAAATAAATGTATCCCAACATGGACAAAAGTCCTGAGAGACACAAAGAGTTTATGTCTTTATAGGTCAGTAGATTGTTTATGACACTAAACACATGATGATGATTTTATCTGTGTGTTAATATCTGATCTCTGACAGTGTGTCTGATTTTATACTGACTCCATCACTGCAGCTCAGAGTCACATGACACACCTGTGTGATCATCACTGCAGCTCAGAGTCACATGACACACCTGTGTGATCATCACTGCAGCTCAGAGTCACATGACACACCTGTGTGATCATCACTGCAGAAACAATCCTCACTGTGAGTTTATGATTATAGATGCAACAGTTGAGTCAGACAGATCTCATCAGTCATTCATTACTCTTTCCCTCAGTATCACAAACACTCTGGTGTTACGTTAAAGAGTTTTATGTGACAGAATCAAAGGAGTTTCTTCATCATACAAACTGAGAAGCATAAAACACTCACTCTCTACTTAACGCTGCAGTAGGCCGTTTAATTTAGGTGTTATTGGGCAAAAATCACAAAATAACCTTTGATCATATTGTAATTTAAGCGTTCTGAGAGAAAACTGGTCTCCTGCTCCTCGTCTTGTTGTCAGGAGATTTTGTCCAATCACAGGTCATTTCAGACAGAGGGCGTTCCTATTGGCTGTTCTACATGAAGAGTTTCATAAATGGAGATAAAACGATAATAATAGTAATAACAGGAGCCAAAGGCTCACAGCTGTAGCTTCATCTTTATGTAGCTAACGTTAGCTAGAGCCTCGAACAGTGTGTCCTTCGCCTCACTCCCCGCCGCTACAGCCCGCCTCACCAGGAGGAGAGTGGGCAGCAGCTCCAGAGACTGACCTCCAGTCGGGGACACAGTGCAGTCAGGACAAACCCCAGCTCAGGGGGCAGACAGCGACCAGCAGAGCCAGAGAGCCGCCGTTTAAGACGTCTCCATGTGTGAGTTCCAGAGCTGCAATTTTATGTTGTACAGACATAGATTGCTAAATATATTTTTAGGAATGTTATTGGGAAAATAATGTTAGCCATGTAGCAACCTTTTCCACCAACTAGTGAACTAGCATGCTAGCTACAAAGCTAGTGAAGCTTGCTAGCTAACGCTGTCTGCTTAGGATAGAGGAGCAGGAGGAGGGGGGTTCAGATTCTGCTGTGACCTCTCACACTTTAAAGTCATTTATAATAAAACCGAAACATGTTTTAAGTTCTGGCCCTTTTTTAAAATTCAGATTTTTTTTCTGGTGTTTCTACATCGTCTGATTCTGTCTGACAGCCTGTCGTTTACATTTCACTCTGATGTTCTCCACGCTGTTTGGAGACGAATTGAGGTGAGTCTGAAACCACGACCCCCGACAGTGAACTGCTTCACCTTAGTAATGTTTGTGCTGCATGTTTGAGGATCTAGAGGATTAACTTTGTTGACGATGACATCACTGGCTCTGCTGTTTACACAAGTTCTTCCTGGTTCTGTCAGCGATCCGTCACGTCTACACGCCTTCGGCTTCACATAATTCAAACCTGTCTGTGTGTGACCCCTACCATCAGGGTTGGGTACTGAAGTCACCATACATTTAAGAGTAATGACCAAATTACGTCTGAACTACAGAGAACCGACTGGCGGTGCCAAATACGGCTGTGGAATTAATCGTCTGGTGATCGCGATTATGATTTTCAGGTCAAACGATTTCAAAATCAGTGAAATCGAGAGTAAACTATTTTTGGTCACAGATGCCTGGAGATTTTATTTTGTCTTCTACGGAAGCCGTGCACGCACAATACCGCCCCCTCCCCTCCTCTGTTCACTCCACGAGCCAGTCTAGTAGGTGAACTACGAATAATGCGAGGGGCAGGTGATCGCTGAAGATTTCAAAAACAGTGTGCGGAAAATGGCAGAGGTAGAGCGAGAGAGGTTGGTCTGTGTTTGTGTGTGTGTGTGTGTGTGTGTGTGTGTGCGCGTGTGCGTGCATGCATCGGGGCCAAACTCTGCCATGCTCGATACAGAGAGCAGAGATGAATTGTAAACTTGCGACCATGTAGAGACAGAAATGACATGCCGTCATGTAAATAATATAAGTCATCATGTGTGCTGCACAGTCGTTTGCATAATCATGATTTCAATTTTGACCAAAATAATCGTAATTATGATTTTTTTCCAAATTCAAGCAGCCCTAGCACCAAATTTTGGTACCTGAGAGTTCACCTGTGTGACAACACCTGGCTTAGACTGTCACTGCAGCTTAACTGGTCTGTTTTCTTTTATAATTTAGAGATAGCCTCGTATCACTGCTGTTTATGAAAGGGATGCAACATAAGAGACACACACACACACACACACACACACACACACACAGATGCTCTTTATGTGATAAGTAAATAATTGCTTGTTGACTGCAGTTTGTTTAAAGAAATAGATTTTGATTATTATGAAGAAGAAATACTTTATTAATCTCAGAGGGGAAATTAAATTCTTTCCTTCTGTTGCCATACACACACAAGCCTGAAATACACACACACACAAACACATTAATCCAAGTTGTGAGTATTGTTTTAACAGGATAAATTGGTGTTGTGTCAGTATGTCGGGTGATGTAACTCTGTGATGCTCTGATGCTCTGTCTGTCAGAGTTAGATCAGATGAATGATTCATAGCTCACACATTACCTGAAGTCTCATCTTTATACAACTAATATTCAAACTGCTTTAAATAAAGAATTTGATCATACTCTACTCAAAAAAATGAAGGGAATATTTAATGGTCCCAGTCTGTCAGGATGTTAGGTAAACTTCAGAGAGGTCAGTCCAGTGATTGTGAATCAGTTTCAGCTGCTTTGGGTCAAATCAAAGAGACAACAGGAACAATGGAGAGACAAACAGGAAGTGGTTTTACATGTGGTGTCCACAGACAGTTGCTCTCTCCTCATCCTTCCTGACTGATTCTTCTCTAGTTTGGTCTTCTGCTAGTGTCCTTGGCACTACTGGTAGCATGAGGCGGGACCTGCAGCCCAGTCAGGTTGATACCATGCCTCCATGAGGGTGGCATGAGGGCCCCACATCCTCTACTGGGACCTGTGCTCACAGCCCAGCACCGTGCAGCTCCATCATTCACCAGAGAACACCAGAACTGGCAGGTCCACCATTGGCGCCCCGTTCTCTTCACAGACGAGAGCAGGTTCACACTGAGCACATGTGACTCATCGGGAGCATGCCCAGACGTTGTCAAGAGGTCATACAGGCAGGCGTGGGCTGTGCACACGACTGAGTCAGAAGATGAGTTGATGTGATAAAATTCTCACACAATGGATCAGCCTGTGATTTAAAAGTTGGACGCTGATTTTGAATCCAGCCCTCAGTGGGTTGATGGTTTTGGTTTCCACCGACAGTTGTTATGTCATTTGGCTCTCAGCTAACTAAACAATGTACATCAGTAAAGATTTTACACTTGAATAATTTGTTCATCAAGCTCTGATGTGGGATTTAGGTGTTCTCTTCATTTTTTTGAGCATTGTATTTCCTGATCTTTGCTGAGTAACAGTTTTGTGTGAAAGGAATTAAAGGCCTGTCCCAAATATAGGCCTGTTGAGTGCTGTAATTTAAGCAAATAATAGCCTGGGCTACTAATAGAAATTTTACGGTAAGTATGTAATTTAAAAAACACAATAAAAAAGAAAAGAAAACAGACCAGATACCTGTTCACCTATACTCACGCTTTACTGATCCAGGTGTGCTCTTAATTTGGCACAGATTGACAGTTTGGTTCTGAAGGTCAGAGTGTCTATAGTATATGTAATAGAATATATACTACAAGGGGAAACAATTAGCCTAGTCTAGCATAAAAACAAGAAACAAGGGGGAGTAGCTATCTTAGCTTAGCATAAAAACAAGAAAGACGGGGAAACAGTTATGCATATAGTAGTATATGCAGTAGTACTGTAGTAGTGGGACAGTGTGGTGTGGCTGAAGGTCAGAGTGGCTGTAATATATGTAGTAGTTTATGCAGTAGTACTGTAGTAGTGGGACACTGCGGCGGGCTTGGAGGTGTCAGGTTACAGTCAGACTGCCCTCACAGAAGGACACTGCAGCTCTGACTTTCTGCACCAGCTGAGCTTTAATATCTGTTAGAACTGATCCTGACATCAATACATACTTAAATCATCCTGCAGAGGGACAGAACAACGGTTATATCCAATAACTAATACAGACTCAGTGATGATGAGGTGATCAGAAAATGACTGTGAGGATGCAACCTGATGATCAATAAGTCAGTCGGAGGGTCTTTTCACTCTTGGCCTCTTTCAGACCTCCAAATGAACTCCGAGTGATGAGTCAGCGTTTTGTGGATCTGTGTGAACACTCAGATCCTCTGGAACAAACTGTCCTCAGACAGGTTTCATTTTCTGTCCGTGTTGTGGTTCCTTTAACCTGTACACTGTGAACACAAAGATCTCCAGGTTCACTGCAACACCTGTGTTTTAACCCTGGAGATCACATGGCTCTGGGACGCTCCAAAAACAAACACACAGAAACATGTCTGCTGTTAACAGCAGCAGGAAGACAGTGATGATGATGGTGATGATGGCAGTAGAGGATGTTGTTGTGTTTTATCAGTGAAGTGGTAACTAGAGCAGTAACCATTCTAACGCTGTGTCTCCTCAGTGGTGGACCGGCAGGGCTGCGACCCCAACACTCGTTTCCTGGTCCCTCCCAGGAACGTCCACTGGGTGGCGCTGCTGCAGAGAGGAAACTGCACCTTTAAAGAGAAGATCCTGAAGGCGGCAGCCTACAACGCCACGGCGGTCCTCATCTACAACAACTCCACCAATAAGACGGTGAAGATGGGACATGAAGGTCAGAGTCCAAATGCCACAGTTTATCTTAGCTTAGCATAACAAGGGGAAACAGTTGGCTTAGCCTAGCATAAAGACTGGAAATGGGGAAACAGCTATTTTCGATTAGCGTAAATACTAGAATCAGGGGAAACAACAGTTAGCTTAGTCTAGCATAAAAACAAGAAAGAAGGGGAAACAGTTAGCTTAGCTCAGCATAAAGACTGGAAACAAGAGGAGCCACTACCTTATCTTAGCATAGAAAAGGGGAAACAGCTATCTTAGCTTAGCATAAGAACTGGAAACAAGGGGAAACTGTTAGCTTAGCTTAGCATAAGGACTGGAAACAAGGGAAAACAGTTAGCTTGCAATGTGGAAATATTCCTTTAAGTTGTGATTGAGAGGAGGAGGAGGAGGAGGAGGACAGTGTGAGGAGTGACTTCCTGAGGATCGATGCCGAGGTCTAAATATAGACTGGAATGTGTCATTAATTGATGAGGTCACTGTGACCTCACACTGTGTGTCTGTGTGTGTGTGTGTGTGTGTGTGTGTGTGTTATGGTCCTGGTGCTGAATGTCAGAGAGCACAAACAGAAACAATCTGATCTGCTGAGAAAAAAATAATCATTATTATAAACTTGATTTCTGAACCAAACAAAAACAATTTGAAAACGTAAATATTAAAATACATTAAAACAACATGCACAGTAAAATGTGTAGTAGTGTCACACTGCAGTACAGTGCAGTAGTGTCACACTGCAGTACAGTGTAGTACTGTTATACTGCAGTACATTGTAGTACTGTTACACTGCGGTACAGTGCAGTAGTGTCACACTGCAATACAGTGCAGTGTAGTACTGTTACACTGCAGTACAGTGCAGTAGTGTCACACTGCAATACAGTGCAGTAGTGTCACTGCAGTACAGTGCAGTATTGTTATACTGCGGTACAGTGCAGTAGTATCACACTGCAATACAGTGTAGTACTGTTAAACTGCGGTACAGTGCAGTAGTGTCACACTGCAGTGCAGTGCAGTAGTGTCACACTGCAATACAGTGTAGTACTGTTATACTGCGGTACAGTGCAGTAGTGTCACACTGCAATACAGTACAGTGCAGTAGTGTCACACTGCAATACAGTGTAGTACTGTTATACTGCGGTACAGTGCAGTAGTGTCACTGCAATACAGTGTAGTACTGTTATACTGCGGTACAGTGCAGTAGTGTCACTGCAATACAGTGTAGTGCTGTTATACTGCAGTACATTGTAGTACTGTTACACTGCGGTACAGTGCAGTAGTGTCACACTGCAATGCAGTGCAGTAGTGCCACACTAGTACAGTGTAGTACTGTTACACTGCAGTACAGTGCAGTAGTGTCACACTGCAATACAGTGCAGTAGTGTCACTGCAGTACAGTGCAATATTGTTATACTGCGGTACAGTGCAGTAGTGTCACACTGCAATACAGTGCAGTGCAGTAGTGTCACACTGCAATACAGTGTAGTACTGTTATACTGCGGTACAGTGCAGTAGTGTCACACTGCAATACAGTGTAGTATTGTGACACTGCGGTACAGTGTAGTACTGTTAGACTGCAGTACAGTACAGTAGTGTCACACTGCAATACAGTGTAGTACTGTTATACTGCGGTACAGTGCAGTAGTGTCACAATGCAGTACAGTGTAGTACTGTTACACTGCAGTACAGTGTAGTAGTGTTATACTGCAGTACAGTGCAGTACTGTTATACTGCAGTACAGTGAAGTACTGTTACACTGCAGTACAGTGTAGTACTGTTATACTGCAGTACAGTGCAGTAGTGTCACAATGCAGTACAGTGTAGTAGTGTTATACTGCAGTACAGTGTAGTACTGTTACACTGCAGTACAGTGCAGTACTGTTACACTGCGGTACAGTGCAGTAGTGTCACAATGCAGTACAGTGTAGTAGTGTTATCTTGCAGTACAGTGTAGTACTGTTACACTGCAGTACAGTACAGTAGTGTCACTGCAGTACAGTGTAGTAGGGTCACACTGCAATACAGTGTAGTACTGTAGTACAGTGTAGTACGGTTATACTGCAGTACAGTGCAGTAGTGTTATACTGCAGTACAGTGTATTAGTGTCACACTGCAGTACAGTGTTGTACTGTTATACTGCAGTATGGTATAGTACTGTTATACTACAGTACAGTGTAGAAGGGTCACACTGCAGTTCAGTGCAGTACTGTAATACTGCAGTACAATGTAGTAGTGTCACACTGCAGTACAGTGTAGTAGTGTTATACTGCAGTACGGTATAGTACTGTTATACTTCAGTACAGTGTAGAAGGGTCACACTGCAGTACAGTGTAGTAGTGTTATACTGCAGTACAGTGTATTAGTGTCACACTGCAATACAGTGTAGTACTGTTATACTGCAGTACAGTGTAGTATGGTTATACTGCAGTATAGTGTATTAGTGTCACACTGCAATACAGTGTAGTACTGTTATACTGCAATACAGTGTAGTACTGTTATACTGCAGTACAGTGTAGTATGGTTATACTGCAGTATAGTGTATTAGTGTCACACTGCAATACAGTGTAGTACTGTTATACTGCAATACAGTGTAGTACTGTTATACTGCAGTACAGTGTAGTATGGTTATACTGCAGTATAGTGTATTAGTGTCACACTGCAATACAGTGTAGTACTGTTATACTGCAATACAGTGTAGTACTGTTATACTGCAGTACAGTGTAGTATGGTTATACTGCAGTACAGTGTATTAGTGTCACACTGCAATACAGTGTAGTACTGTTATACTGCAATACAGTGTAGTACTGTTATACTGCAGTACAGTGTAGTATGGTTATACTGCAGTACAGTGCAGTAGTGTTATAGTGCAGTACAGTACAGTAGTGTCACACTGTAGTACAGTGTAGTACTGTCATACTGCAGTACAGTGTAGTAGTGTTATACTGCAGTACAGTGTAGTAGGGTCACACTGCAATACAGTGTAGTAACCTGTCCTGACTCTACTTGTCCCTGGTTCTGTACATTCAGGTACCGGTGACACGGTGGCGGTGATGATTACAGAGGCGTACGGTAAAGAGATCCTGGCTCACCTAGAGAGGAACCTGACCGTCCTGGTCTCAGTGGTGGTCGGCCAACGTGGTTCTGCCAAAAACATCAACCGAGGCTCGTTGGTCTTTGTCTCCATCTCCTTCATCGTCCTCATGATCATCTCGTCTGCCTGGCTCATCTTCTACTTCATCCAGAAGATCCGCTACACCAGCGCCCGTGACCGCAGCCAGGTGATATGCTAACACACCGCTAACATGCTAATTTAAAGGTAACAAGCTAAAGCACCGCTTACAAACTAACAGGCTAACACACCGCTAATATGCTAATACAAAACTAACACGTTAACACACCACTAAAATGCTAATGTAAAGTTAACAAGCTGACACACAGATAACGTACAGCTAATAAGCAAACATATAGCTAACAGTCTAACACACTGCTGACAGGCTAACACACTGCTAACACGCTAACTGACTAACACACTGCAAACAGACTAACACACTGCTAACTGGCTAACACACCGCTGACAGGCTAACTGACTAACACACTGCTAACACACTAACACACTAACTGGCTAACATACTGCTAACAGATTAACATACTGCTAACAGACTAACACACTGCTAACAGACTAACACACTTTTAACACACTAACTGGCTAACACACTGCTAACAGACTAATACACTGCTAACACACTAACACACTGCTAACTGACTAACACATTGCTAACAGACTAACACACTGCTAACAGACTAACACACTGCTAACAGATTAATATACTGCTAACAGACTAACACACAGCTAACAGATTAACATACTACTAACAGATTAACACACTGCTTACAGACTAGCAGGCTAACACGCAGCTAACATAGAGCTAATATGTTAACACACAGCTAACAGGCTTACACTCAGCTAACAGGTTATCACACCGCTAATATAGCACTAATATGCTAACATACAGCTAAGAGGCTTACACACAGCTAACACGCAGCTAATAGGCTAACTCCACTCTTCTCATCCCCCCTTATACACCTCTCCTCCTCCTCTTCCTCTCATCCTCCCATCCCCCTCTCCTCCTCTTCCTCCTCCTCTCGTTGTGCAGATGAACATTAATATTTAATGAGGTGAATCTCTGCTGAAAGTTTAATGGAGCAGTGGGTAGTCACCCCCCACTGTAATATAACCTTCCTCTCAGGACTCTGTCTCCCTCCTCCTCATCCTCCTCCTCCCCCCTCTCTCCATCTGCTGCAGAACAACCTTCACTTCACCTCATCAGCATCTGCTGACCCTGAAGTACTGTTGACAGTACTGTAGTACACACGCCTCACAGACAGTAGTACTGTTGACAGTACTGTAGTACACATGCCTCACAGACAGTAGTACTGTTGACAGTACACACGCCTCACAGACAGTAGTACTGTTGACAGTACTGTAGTACACATGCCTCACACACAGTAATACTGTTGACAGTACTGTAGTACACACGCCTCACAGACAGTAGTACTGTTGACAGTACTGTCACATATGTGTTCATGTGTCCACTTCCTGTTTGACCTGTAGTAACTTCCTCTCTGTCCCTCAGCGTCGTCTTGGTGATGCAGCAAAGAAAGCCATCGGGAAGCTGACCACGAGGACGGTGAAGAAAGGAGACAAGGTAAAGACGTCTTTAACGTCTAGTTAATGTTGACCTCCAGATGACACTTAGACTTAGAAGACCTTTAATGTTCCCGGGGGGCAATTTTGTTTACAGCACAATACGTAAAACACATACATCTACTCTGTAGATACGATGACACACATAGATTACACAGACATATCATACATAAATTACACATATACACACGGAATAACTCTCTTGGTCTTTGATATATTTAACTGTAAATGTGACGCCTCACACCAGCTCACAAAACAGGTCCATGCCCAATTTCATCCTGGTTCAGTGAGCTAACTACGGCAGTATCATCTGCAAATTTAATATATGACTCCCAGGGTGACTTTTTTTCTTTTTTCATCTTTCTAGCATGTAGCTAGCTAACGCTGTCTGCTTATTATCTTCTTGATCATAACAGAATACATAAACTTTCACCACTGATAAGGACGCCACAAGAACACATGTTCAGATTATCAAACAGAAGGTGGATCATCGGTGTTTGTTTCTGCCCACCAGTGTTTGATAATGTAGCTAGCGTGCTAATGTTAGCGAGCCTTTATTTTCCCAGGATGGTGTGTGGGTGCAGACAGAACCAAACTAAACTGACTTTATACAACTGAAAGAAAGAACATGTGTTCTTGTGGTGTCCTTTGTAAAATGATCAGAGGTGACAGTTTCTATATTCTGACAGAATCAAGCAAACAGTGTTCTGTAGCTAACGTGCTAGCTAGTTAAAAAGTTGATTGCCTCCACATTAAATTATGTTCTATAGAAATGTCTCCACAGGTATTAATCAGGACAATGAGACAAATTCATGTTTGACAAACAAGAGTTTTTACAGTTCCTCTTGAATTATTTTCCAGCACATCAGTGATTCAGTTCCTGTCAGTGTAACACACACTCCTCTACTGAGCGTCCAGCAAAGATTAGACACTAAATATTCACATTATAATTAACTGGAGACTAAACTTTATTTTTCTGCTACATGTTGAACATAAACCCATGAATGTAAAAATGTCTCACTGCAGATGGTTGAGAAATATAAATGTTATAAAGCTTTTTATCCTGAAAAACTGCTGCTCCTGTCTCCTGTCTTTCCGTCTCCAAAATGGCGGCACCACTGACGTATGATCCAGCAGCCAATGAGGCGTCTATATTTCATATAGAAGCTGAAAACTACCAGTTGTGACCAGAAAACAACAGGTTTTAATTTGTGAAGTTTCGATGTCACGTTAACATATTCATGTTTGTGTGTATGTATGTGTGTGTGTGTGTGTGTGTTTGTTTGTTTGTTTGCAGGAAACTGATCCAGATTTTAACCACTGTGCGGTGTGTATCGAAGCATACCAGCTGAACGATGTGGTCCGCATCCTGCCCTGCAAGTGAGTCTGAACACACTCATACGTTAATGACGCACTGGACAGTATCACCAGTCAGCCCAGTATCACCAGTCAGCCCAGTATCAGTCAGCCCAGGATCAGTCAGACCAGTATCAGTCAGCCAAGTATCACCAGTCAGCCCAGTATCACCAGTCAGACCAGTATCAGTCAGACCAGTATCAGTCAGACAAGTATCACCAGTCAGCCCAGTATCAGTCAGACCAGTATCAGTCATCCCAGTATCATCAGTCAAACCAGTATTAGTCAGACCAGTATCAGTCAGACCAGTATCACCAGTCAGACCAGTATCAGTCAGCCCAGTATCACCAGTCAGCCCAGTATCAGTCAGCCCAGTATCACCAGTCAGACCAGTATCAGTCAGCCCAGTATCACCAGTCAGACCAGTATCAGTCAGACCAGTATCACCAGTCAGACCAGGATCAGTCAGACCAGTATCAGTCAGCCCAGTATCACCAGTCAGCCCAGTATCAGTCAGTATAAAACATCATGTACTGGTCCTGGATCAGATCTGTGTTCTGATGCTCTGATATTTATGTGTGTGTGTGTGTGTGTGTGTGTGTGTGTTTCCAGACATGTCTTCCATAAGGTGTGTGTGGACCCGTGGCTGAACGAGCACTGCACCTGTCCCATGTGTAAACTCAACATCCTGAAGGCTCTGGGCATCATGGTGAGTCATCGATGACATCATTAACACACACACACACACACACACACACACGTACACACCACGTGTGTCTCTAACACCTGTCCCCTGTCTCCGTCCTCAGACCAGTCTCCCCTGTGTGGACAGCGTGGTGTTGGACGTGGAGCGTCTGGGCGTCAGTCAGGCGTCCAGCAGCCAGAGAGCAACGCTGGGTGACAGCAACCAGCCGTCCATCAGCCTGGAGCCACTCAGCCCCCCCCACCCTGAGGCCACGCCCAGAACCCCTGCTGACATCACCATCGCTGTGACCAGTAAGAAAGCAGCAGGACATGATGGCACGGCACCATAAACACAAGACACAGGGCAACTTTACAATCAGATGGCAACTTTATAATCACAGAGCAACTTTACAATCACAGGGCAACTTTATAATCACGAAGCAACTTTATAATCACAGGGAAACTTTATGATCACAGGGAAACTTTATAATCACAGGGAAACTTTACAGTCACAGGGCAACTTTGCAATCACAGAGCAACTGAACTCTGATACTGGTGCCAACACATAACTGTAGGTGCAACTAAACTTTACATTCAGCCTAAAGCAAATTAACACTGTGATAGCCTTACACTTTTATAGAGCAACTTTACACTGTTGTAGAGCAACTTGACACTATAAATACTGTCATAGAGCAACTTTACACAATTAGTACTGTCATAGAGCAACTTTACACTATTAATACGGTCATAGAGCAAATTGACACTGTTAATACCGTCATAGAACAACTTTACACTGTCATAGAGCAACTTCACACTATTAATACAGTCATAAAGCAACTTCACACCATTAATACCATCATAGAGCAACTACACACTATTAATACTGTCATAGAGCAATTTTACACTATTAATACTGTCATAGAGCAACTTGACATTATTAATACTGTCACAGAGCAATTTTACACTATTAATACCATCATAGAGCAATTTTACACTATTAATACCATCACGGAGCAACTTGACACTATAAATACTGTCATAGAGCAATTTTACACTATTAATACCATCATAGAGCAACTTTACACTATTAATACCGTCACTGAGCAAATTGACACTATTAATACTGTCACAGAGCAATTTTACACTATTAATACTGTCACATAGCAACTTCACACTATTAATACTGTCATAGAGCAACTTGACACTATTGATACCGTCATAGAGCAACTTGACACTATTAATACAGTCATAGAGCAACTTGACACTATTAATACTGTCATAGAGCAACTTGACACTATTAATACTCTCATAGAGCAACTTGACACTATTAATACTGTCATAGAGCAACTTGACACTATTAATACTCTCATAGAGCAACTTGACACTGTCAGAAAGCAGCTCTACACTACTGCACTGATCATGTCTGTAAACATACAGGTTATATTAATGGACTGAATTAATAAGGTGTATTGATTAAACTACAGGGAGCATTGATTTGATTAGTTTTAATGTGAAATGTCGAATCAGCCACAAGGTTGCTCTGCTGTGTGACGTTGCCTTTGGTTCAGTTAGGTCTTTATTTTAATCATATTTAAACAGATTGTAGGTGTTCTTCACACAGGATTTTCACGTCGGACGACCTCAGAGTCACACAGACACAAATATGAAACAGGAGCAGCTGTTGAGAAACATTGAACGCTGCTCACACAGATAACGACCCTGAGCTCAGCCTCTGAGGTCACTGCAGCAGATTCTCTCCATTATATTAGTAACACTGTGCTGCGGACATGTTGCTGCAGACATGTTGCTGCAGACGTGTCATGCCATGTCTGTGCCTCAGGTATTTCAGCCGTGTGTCAGAAAACCAACTTCACACTGTCATGGAGCAGAAGAGATCTGGTAGATCTATGATAACTGTGATAGAGCTTAATAAAACTCAGTTTCAGACGACCACAGAACAAGAGGATGATTTAATCAAAGATGATCCTGGTCGCTGTGTCGGGCAGAAATGAATCCAGGTTATATCGTCCTTTCCTTCAGTGTCTGTTGGTTTTGCTGCAGTGTCTCAAATTGTCCACTAGACGGAGCCAGTGACATCATAAACACACACCTGATGATGTCATCAGATCAGTCTTATAGATCCTCAGTGTGAGCTGAAACTCTGAAAGTCTGCATCATAGATTTAATTTATTTTAATAGTGATGTTGGTGTTGATCCAGCTGATGATCTGAGGGCAGAACAAACACAACTTCCTGTCTGCTGCTGTCTGTTAATAAATTATTGAATATTGACAAATGTGGCGTAGTTTGATTCTAACAGTATTGTTTTATAACCACATATATTTGTACATGTATGTAATATATTTACATGACTCATACGGCGCACATTGTCGTGTAAGTCTTTTTCGTTCTGACGTGGATGTTGATTGTTTTTCTGTGTCGTCAGGCGGCGGTCACTTCTTCAACAGGAACTCGATGTCTCCTCGCAGCGTCGTCTGTGAGATGGAGCTGCCGGACATTCAGGCCTCGCTCGACCTCTACGACGACAACAAGTCCTGAGGCTCATTGTCATGGTTACGACCTCACTGCCTCCACCTCCACCTGCTGATGGACGGACAACCCAATAAGGAAGCAGGATGTGTTTGGTGTTTCCTGTAGGGTGGGTGGATGGTCAGGGGGTCTGAAAATGGAAAAATGTGGACGAACTTTGAAAAATCATTTAATCCATCAGACTTTCTTCAGCCTGGACTCAGTCTGGATCCTGGTCTCAGTTTAGACCCCGTAACTCAACATGTTTTTATTTTCCCCAGAAGAAGAAAAACTTTTGAGGAAACAGAGATGTTTTTTGTGTCACATTATTAGAAATTCTTTCTAAAACAAATATTCCTGAGATCTGTACTCCAGATCCAAATTCAACCAAGGAAGTAGAACCTGAACTAGGATCCTCTGATGGAACCAGGGGTAATGCCTTGGTTGAGTTTCTTGAAAAGTTCCTGTAAAGGTTTTGGAGTCCCCAGAGCACTCTTTTGTTCTTGGAAAAGGGTTCCTGGGGTAGGTCCTTTGTTTCTACAGAGGTTCCTGAACAGCTAAAAACATGTGTGGGTCCCGGCAAAACGTTGTAAATTTCTTAAACTTTTTTTTTTTTATAGGTTCTGAGTTCTCAAAAAGGTCCCTACGTTTCTGGAAAAGGTCCAGAGCTCCTTAGAAGGATCCTGGGTTCCTGAAAAAGGGCTCCTGGGTTCCTCTAAAAAGTTTGTGAATTCTTAAAGAGGTTTCTTGGTTCTGAAAATGCCCCGGAGTGCCTAAAACGGTTCTTTAAAAAGTTTCAGAGGCCCTTAAAGTTCCCAGGCTCTTGTAAAAAAGAGAGATCCTAAAGCATTTCTTGGGTTCCTGGAACAATTTTGTGAATTCCTAAAGATTTCCTGAACAGGTTCCCAGACTCCATAAAATGTTCCCTGAAGCATTTACTGGACACCAAATGCACTCTTGGAAAAGGTTTTGAGATCCCAAAAAGGCTCATGAGTGCCTAAGGAGTTCCTGGAAAGGTTCTTGGAATCCTGGAAGGGTTCTTGGGTTCCTGTAAATGATCCTGAGCTCTTAAAAGGGTTCGTAAAACATTTCTGAGGTGTTAAAAATGTTCTTGGGTTGTCAAAAAAATCTAGTTCCTACCAAGGATCCTGAAATGGTTCTCAAGGCTTTAAAAAGGTTCCTGTGCTCCTGGAAAACAGGTGAAAAGATTTTTATTTGAGACGATCCTGCCTGAACCTAAATGGACCTGGAAGTGCCAGGACTAGAACCATAACAGACCCAGAGAACATGAACCAAGAAAAGGTTCTCTGATGTTCTGCGTTAAGGCAGGACTCTGGACATTTGGGAATCTGTAACTTGACCCTCTGATTGGCTAACTGAAGATGACATCATCAACAGACTCTTGTGGACTCCAGTTAGTCTGACTGAAGACCTGGATCAGAATTCCTCAATAAACTGACTGAGCTTATTCTTCGTGCTCTTCATCAGACTGGAACCAGCACCAGAGGAAGACCTGGATCCGGATCATCTGTAGAAACTCTGGAGGAAACCGTCTTGTGAACTTTAACAGTGTTAAATCCCCTGTAGCAAAAAGAGACGTTAGATTTAAAGGAACAGTCCGATATTTCAGAAAATACTCCTGTTCTCTGTTTGAGCATCATGTGGGGATCCTCAGGGAGGCGTCCCGGGTCCTCTGTTCTTCTTATTAAAGGGACACTTCTACATGTATTAAACCCTCGTGTTCTCCAGACTCAGACGAGACGATGAGTAGCTTAGCTTAGCACAAATAGTGGAAGCAGGTGGAAACTGTTAGCTCCACCAAAAGAGAGAAAATTAACGTCCAACAACCTCCAGTCCATCTGAGTTTACCTTGTTAGCTAATGGGGCTAGTCAGCAGTTCGTCCTGTAGTCCGCTGGTCGGGTAAACAGTAGAGTCATCTGGAGTCTGCAGGTCTTTGAGCCAATCAGAAGAGAGTCGGAGGTGAGTCACTTCCTGTACTGCCAGAAACTGAAAAGCAGAAAACAAATAAGTTCACTTTGATTGTTGTTAAGTAATTTTTGCTCAATAATTAAGTTCTGTCCAGATGAAGCTCAAACTGTTGTGTAAAAGTTGGTGTAATACAACAGCTGGTCGGTGACACAAAACCACCACAGAAGAAGAAGAAGAAGAAGTGGTGATTCAGAGAGGTCCCCTTCAAAGAGTCTCTCAGTTCTGGTCTATATAGCCCCTTTTCCACCGCAGGAACTTTTATCAATTACCCGGAATTCTGAAAAACCTCTGCGCATTTCCACCGAAATTACCCGGTTAAAAAACTTTCCCTCAACCTCAAATTTACCCTGGAAAAAGTACCTAGTAGGGAGGTAGGACTTTTCAAATTACCCAGAATTCTTGAGGGGCGGGGCTGTTTGCTGAAGAACACTGATTGGTGGAACACACACTTGCAGCATTCCGCACTTCCTGGTACGGGCAGCCGCTGAAAACTTTATTTAATTTCTACAAGCATCAATTCGTTTCTGTTTTGATGCAGGATAGGCACTGACACCTGGTACTAAATTAGCCCCGGGGCTAAAATATTAAAGGTCATAGTGTCAGACATAACGTTAGTGTCGGTGGATGAGAGACGCGGAGCATATTGAATATCGCTGTCTACATTGGTGGATTGTTCCTAATGAGCTCTAATGACAGCTGTCTGTATGTAGACTAACTTAGTTTGACACTTATCTTAAAATACTTTACACTGAGCTGCTGGCTGAGACAAACAGCCCCAACTCTCTACACCAGCACGTAACCAGCCAATGAACTGGCGGAGCCAAATACATGCCGCATGCCGAATCATCTACGTCATCACGCTGATTTGAATAAATTTACTGGAACTTTAGGTGAGGTGGAAACAAACCATACACATTACCAGGAATTATTTTACCCAGGTAAATAAATCCCTGGGAATAAAAATTCCTGGAAATGTTGGTGGAAAAGGGGCTAATCTGGTACTTTCTTCTTGACCTGTGATCCAGGTGGCTCAGATCTTTAGAGATTCTCCTGGCTTTTTTTTTTTTTTTTTTTTTTTTCCCAGTGTCTGGTACAGACTGCTTTAGTGTCGACATCACAGTGACATCATGTTATCAGCTGGAGGTGCAGCTGCCTCTCCCCCACAGGGCTGTAGGCTCCATAGGAGTGTTAAAATGTGTTTGTCTTGTTGTGTTATTGGGAGCCAGAATAGAAGGAGTCATGGCTCAAAACCAGCCGCCACTGCCCGTCAACAAAAACAAAGACAACTATGGTTAAATGTGATAAGACCAAAGGACTGGACGCACACTTCACATCAGGCTTGAATGCAGAGTTAATTATGCTCATTAAACTTGACAAAGTGCTTCACAATTCAGCATCAAAAAGAAATATTAAGAGATAACGACAGTTCATCACTGATAAATAATTATTTTATCAGTGAAACATTCTTGTATCTGTAATTATAAGACTATTCCTAATATGTGTCCCTCAGCTCCACAGTTGTCACTCAGTCAGCTGTTCGTCAGCGTCGACCCTTTAACGTAAAGTTCATTTACAAAGAAGCCGTTCAGTCTTTAGATGAACGTGTTCAAATCTGCAGCAGGAAGTGACACGGCTGCTCCCTCTCTTCCTATTGGCTCACAGACCTCAGGTGTGACGTCAGCGGGTGGACCCACTGTGTGATGCTGCTAATGCGTCTCCTCTTGGTGTTTCTGTTTGAAAAGTGGCGGACTGCTCCTTTAAAGTGTATGAATAAATTAAACAGCTTCTGAATTACTCAGCGTGTAATAATCAGCTCCACGACGGGGCTCAGTATATAAACAGCATTATACAATCTATAACCTGATCGATCGATATTATCTCTGAAGTGACCTGAAGACATCCTGAAGGATTCGTCTGTCCTCGTCTGTCTGTCCTCGTCTCTGTGTCACATGGTACTGATGATGGTGGTGGTGGTGATGAAGAGGATGTGTGTGTGTGATGCTTTCAGTTCACTGTGTCTCTTACTGCCTCAGCATTAAAGTGTCATTAAAGTGTCATTATTGCCTTTAACGTGTGGCCGTCTGTCTTTATTTCTCCTCACAGGAAACAGTTTTAATACACACAGGAAGTAACTGAACATGTGACTAAAATACAAACGTAGCCTGTGAGGTAAATCAGAGAAAGTGAAGTGTTGTAATTTGTTCAGTCTCATTTTATTTTCATTCATTATGACTCTGTGAGTGATCGCTGTGGCCCGAGGCTGCACAAACATATGTCTGATTCTTGTGAGTACGATGTCTGAACGGCGCAGCCAATCAGGTGTCAGCAGCTCTTTAACATTTAGTCATGTAGACATGGTGAAGACGAGATTTTATAGATTATATAGAAAAAACATTTAATTTTATTGAGATTGATACGGACTGTTAAAAATAAAAAATAAAATAAGACCATGACACAGGTGTATTCACCTTACTGAGAACACATACATTTATATTAGAATTATTTTTTTAATCATTTATCTTTGAACACAGGTTTATTTCAAAGGTGGTAACCTGAATCTCTTGCTGGGGCCTGTTCTCTCTATGGGCCCCTCCACCTCAGGGGCCCCAGTGCAGTAACACTGCCTGCACCGTCTGTATTTACGTCCCTGTCTCAGAGTTTTAGGAGGTTTTCTTGGTGATTTTCTTGGTGATCAGCCAAAAAGTGTCTCCTGTCTGCAGCCTGTGGGTGCAGTACCAGAGGAGAACAGCAGGAGGCGCAGTAACAGCAGCTGTTTATGGACGTCTCACCGCCATGTTGTTTATTTACATTAGTAAATAACTGTAACATCTGAAGTCACTGTTGGTTTATTTATTCAAATGTTTGTTTTTTCTCGTTAATGTTTCAGAGTTTGTTTCACACAGTCTGTGGTTTATTCTTTGTCTGTGACGTAATGACGCAGCGTGCGCAGAGGGCGTGCACTGTGGCGTCAGACCCGGAAGTGATGTGAAGTCAGCAGACCAAGTGAAAACAACAACATCAGCTCGGTGTTTGTCTGAATTAGACGGAGCCGCCCGGTGCTAACTAACGGGCCTTTCTCCCGGTGCTAACGGGTCTTTCTCCCGGTGCTAACGGGTCTTTCTCCCGGCGGACGGTGAGCAGGCAGCGGGCAGAGATGTGGATCCAGCCGGAGGAGGTGCTGCTGGCCGGGGCGCTGTGGGTGTCTGAGCGGGCCAACCCGTTCTTCATCCTGCAGAGGAGGAGAGGACACGGCCGAGGAGGAGGACTGTCCGGTGAGTCCCTGCTGTGTCTGTGGACACATATATGTCCACAGACATGATGTGTGACTGAGACAGGGGGACATTAAACACGTCACAGTGTCTGAAGACATTCAGCTGCAGACAGCCTGAAGGGTTAAAGTGTTTTATATAAGAACTTTAGTTACTATTATTCAACATAATTCATGAGCTGATCACATGTTACACATGATTCTGTCACATACATGCGCTGCAGGACATGTATGTGACATGTATGTGACGTGTATGTATGTAGATGGAAGGTAAAGTTCAAGTACCTCTACACAGCCCTGGTCCTGACTAAATGTACTCCGTTACTTTGTGACACTGCTCTATAGACAGTTAATACTAATAATGAGATCATGATTAATCGATCGTTCAGAATTTGATCAAACGTAAGATGTAATCGATCAATCGATGCAGAGCTGTAACTGCATATATCTGCAGTTTGTTGCTGTGAGATTTGAATAAGGAAGAACACATTTGTTTTTAATCAATTAATTGATTGTTAATTTTCTCAATAATCGATGTAGGAAATGCTTTTAATGTGCAGTTTACTAGTGATAATGATACAATGGTGGTTGTGTCTCCTGTCAGAGTTTTATACTTTCAGACTCTGCTGACTGACAGTGAACGCAGCACACATACTTCACGTTGTTGTTTTATTAGATTTTGAAAGAGATCCAGAGTCCAGACAGAAACTCAGCCTGAGCTGAAGCTGCACTTCATATGTTCACAGGTGTTTCAGTGGTGCAGAGTTAGGGACTGTTCGTTACTTAAGCACTGGGGAGGGACTTGTATTTTTTATTTTGGCTTAGTGGAGGGGCATACAACTTGTTTTTGTTTTTTCTTTAAAGATTATTTTTTTTGACTCTTTGGCTTTTAAAGAGCCGCAGGCTGGACTCAAACCCACGACCACTGAGCAGGGACATTGCCTTTGTACATGGGACACCTGCTCTGCCCACTGAGCTACTGCGCGCCCCCACAAAGTTAAATGGTTATATTTTGTATTTGATTTACCACAGACTTTTAATGAAAACATGATTTTTAATGAAAACATGCCTGACACAATTTATCAGCCAGAAACTGTAAAAACAGAAATTATTGGTCAGTTTTCAAATTTCTGACGGTCCTTGGACAAAAGCTTCTGCCAGAAACAAACCAAAAACAAATCTCAGCTTAAAATAGTGATATTCCATCAAAACCACTTTAGTTTATCTCTCACAACACATTTGCATGAACTACTGTGTGTGTGCACTAAAGAGTGAAAAACTGAAGCTTTGTGGCGCCCAGTAAATCAGCTGGTACAAAGGCTGTGACCCCGCCACGGCGTCCGCGGGCTCTGTTTCAGCCCCGCCCCTTTGCTGCATGTTGCCCCCCCCACCCCCCCTTCACGCCTAAACTGGTTTAAAAATCTAATAACTGATTTATGGTGGAGGGGGGGTCATGGATTTTTCTCCAGTCACTCAGGGGGGCTCACACCCAGCCACCTCCCTCCTCTGATAAATAAAGGACAGTCCCTTAATAATTCTCTTCTACGTGACGTCACTCTGAGCTCAGAGTCTGTGGTTTTTACACTCCACATTACTGCGTCCTCACAGCATATAGTAACAGGTCAGAGGTCACAGGTCATAGTAACAGGTCACAGGTCACAGGTGTCTCAGAGATGGCTTGATGCCTCCACTCCACCAGCGGCTCTGACAGTGGAGCTGAATCATGATTCATCATGACTCAAACTTCCCTGCACAGGAAACCACAAACTGTGTGTTACTGATGAGGAAGTGACATCATCAGCAGTCAGCTGACATTATTCACGATGGCTTCGACCCTCGACAGAGGACAGTTTGCACGGCCTCTTCATGCAGCTGATGTTCCTGAAGGACTAAGGGAAGGATTTTCTCTACTGAACAAATCAGTGGACTTACACTTGTGTCTTCCCTTTCTCTTCTTCCAACCATTAACACTACATGCCACATTCACAGAGTCGAGGAGGCTACCATACAAGGTGCCACACTGATGGAACAGCCATCAGGAGCAGGGTTCAGCATTTTGCGGACTGGAGTCTCAAACCACCGATCTTCTGATCTGTGGACGAGCCACTCTAGCTCCTGAGCCAAACTCCACAGTGATGGGCTCTGGTGGGGGAGGGTTAATGTCCATTTCGCATCATCCTTCAGCAGTGTATAATGTGTGATCCAGTTGCTTTGGAGCTTCTGCTAGCTCTGGGTTTGCTCCAACAGCGTTGCTTTGATGGGTCCCCTCCAACAGATGAACTTGTGCAAGGCGTTCATGCAGGAGTCAGTATCCACATTCCCACACATTAATTTATTTGTGGCAGCCCGGCATGATTAAAACATCTACCGCCATGTTTAGAATTTCTTTTTTTGGAGACAGGCCGTTCATTAGGAGCGCTGCTGGAATATAAATACTGGTCATTGCACTACAACCTTGGAGCACAGAGCAACTCTGGGTGCAGACGCGCAGCAGAACTCCAGGCACAGTCAAAGTAAAACTTAAGTGTTCATTGTGCTGGGTCTGAGAGTTTGCTTTCACTCGGAAACAGCTGTTTCTGTCATCTGTTGATCTGACCTGATCAGATCAACCAATCAATTATCCACCCCACGACTCAAAACTCAACAAACTGCTGCTGAGGACAAAAATGAACTCATGAGGACTTCAGTCAGCTCTGTGTTCATGGACCACAGGTAAGAACCAAACAGAAGGTTGGCGAAATCCCGTCAGCTACCGCCGCATTAAGATTAGAATTCTGTGGG